TGATGTCAGTTCGTCGGATACAGGCCACTGGTAGTGACGTAAGTTCGTCCTATACAGACAACTGATGGTGATGTCAGTTCGTCAGATACAGGCCACTGGTAGTGACGTAAGTTGGTCCTATACAGACAACTGATGGTGATGTCAGTTCGTCAGATACAGGCCACTGGTAGTGACGTAAGTTCATCCTATACAGACAACAGATGGTGGCGGCGTTTCGTCAGATACAGACAACTGATGGTGATGTCAGTTCGTCAGATACAGACTACTGGTAGTGACGTCAGTTCGTCCTATACAGACAACTAATGGTGATGTCAGTTCGTCAGATACAGGCCACTGGTAGTGACGTCAGTTCGTCCTATACAGACAACAGATGGTGGCGGCGTTTCGTCAGATACAGACTACTGATGGTGACGTCAGATCGTTAGATTTAGGCCACTGTTAATGACACCAATTGGTCAGATATAGACCACTGGTAAAAGCTTCAGTCCATTAGATACAGACCGCTGGAAGTCGTATATGTTTGTCAGATACAGATATTATTGTGACGTCAGTTCGTCAGATACAGTACACTTCTTGAGCAATATTATTATTAATGCAAATTGTTATTAGAAAACACAAAACAAATACATCAATGATTCAACACATGCAAACGTTCAGAACCTTACCTCGATTCTAAAACAATACCACTTTCGTAAATGAAGCACCGAAACAAAACAGAACGCATCATAACTCTCAAAAAAAGGTAATACATTTAAACCTATATACTTCAGACGGGAATACGTTCCCACACCTTGAGATAGCCAGCAGACAACAGGTGTAAAGAAATGTTTACCTCTGGAAAGGATTTAGCTCCTTTTTTATTTAGAGGTTTCGGGGTTTAGATTACAATTTGGAATTACAAATCCGCCAAATTAGCATACTTGTGTGTATGACAAAAACACGGCCTTAGCTCGTAATTCAAGAATTATATTTACTTGTATGCATATTTTGAACAAATGTTTGCAAACATGATTCCTCGTTAACAGAGAACATCGTGAACGAAAGACACAAATAAATATCACATTTCGACATCATTGTAGTAACAGCCATATTGTTGTAAACAGTAAGTATATCAATGACACTACATCATACAGCTGTTTCGCTCTTTTCAGTGCTGCTAGGGATCGGAGGTGTGCACATCGCGAAGGCAATTTTGATGACGATAATAATAAAAAGATAAAAATAGAAGGAAGCAGATTTAAGAATATTGACTTTTTTTTTATTTAATGTTTAATTCTATTACTCTAAATAATTTAAAAATTGGGAAAATTAAAAAAAAAAGTGAGAAAAAAAAATCCATATTTAACAAAGCATTCTAAGCGTGAAGAAGCGAGAACAGTTGAGTTACATTAGGTGAAGATCATGACATAATATGAAGCAATGGATGGTGGAATCTATAAAACAAATATCTCTTCGATAAGTTAACATATTGCAATCATAATGTTTCTCCGTTATCAAATGAGAAACATCGTTATGTCCCTAGCCTCCGAGATGTTGGTTTCAGACCTTGAAGTGACCGGTATGATAAATGAAACCCGACCATCATTGAAAAGAACATACTTCTTTTCAACATACAAATGTCGGTCTTTGAAATTTTGTCACAAAGACGATTCTTTTTTTGAACCAAAACTTCAGGAGTATAAGAATGTGTGAATGTTCACGTATGCCCGTGTTTACGTTTTGATGGTATACCTTCGTGACAACTGTCAAGCTGTCGAAGCCGTATCATATAGCTGTCTTCAAGGTGCTACTAAGCATATATTTGAGTGTCGAGAATATATTATGTATAATTTGAGATTTGTAAAGGTTAAAGTTCGAGTTAAATGTATATTTGTAATTAATCTGATTTTGTGTGTTTCGTGTCTGTTGTGTCTGACGTCATCTTTAAATGATATCATATGATAATATCTGTGACACGACCGTCTTTATTTACCAATTGTTAACCTCCAGTGAGGTGGATGTTATGGTATGTTAACCCGAGATGTTTATGTAATCCAAGAACGAAGAGTAAGGTGTACTCTTATGTTTATCTTAAACTCTTTCAAGGGTGAAAGTTCACTAGATATATTTCGCTTACCCTTCAGAACACTAGGTCTTCTGTTGGTATTTTTAAATGGGTCTTCATGTATGTTTGATTTTTACTCAATGTTGATTATAAAGAAACGATTTTGGGTTTTATGCTAGTGTTTAGTTGTTGCCATTTTTGTATATTTAAAGCAGATCTTCACGCAAGGCGACAGCCTGAAAACTCTTGAATCTTGTACACGATTATTAAGTTGGAATATTGTTCAAACAATAAGTCTGCAAATCGTAGGTGTGTGCAGCATACTATATTTTTTGTGTTTGTAGTTCTTTATTTTCGTGATGAAAAATTCGGAATTAAACCAGCGAAGCATGTATTCAGTGTGGTAAAAATATTTCATTTATCTTTTTTGTGAAATTTTATACATTTCATACTTAATTTATCTGTGCATGATCTTAAAATTCAGTTGTGATTTACGGAAGGAGAGTTGCTAAAATTATGAGGTGCTTATAGTTTTGCAACACTGCAAAAATGTACAAAGCATCTATGAGTCAACTTATCATACAATATTAATGTAGGATGCACACTAAAAGATGATATTTTATAATGAACTGTGACAATTATATAATGCTAGATGTATAAATGACACGGTTACTGTAAACGTTAACATACAATGTACCTATTTATAACAAGATAGTCAGCCGGCTAACATTTAACATTGTGCCATAGTGAAGTAGTGATTCGAGTTTACGGATGCATGATTTTGTCAAAACAGATATACTTTATTTGACAAAACACAAGGCGGATATTTGTGGTTTGAAACATTCCTTAAATACACCTTTATATATAGAGCTAATCAACCATTTACCAAATGTTCTCTGTCCATTGTGAGCATATCCATTTGATCTGTCTCTCCTGTTATTGATAACGATAATATATATATATATATTTTTTTTATATAAGTACGTTTTGTTGCTTTTCGATGACCATCATGTTCAGAAAGCGAAAGTCTGTTTATTGACACAACAGCCCATACAATGTATTTAATATACCATTTCTAACACTATTCCGAATGGGGTCGATAATTTCCCAACTTATAGTTATCCTGTGTGATATGAAGCTGGATTTTTTGATGCTCGTTAGTTTGCTTGTTGTTTCCGTTGTTGTATACCTTGTTCTCATTTGAGAACGTGACATTCCATACGTGGATTGACGAAGACTTACATGGCGGATGTCGATGAAACAGAAGACGCTTACTCTTCCGAATCGCCTTCCGAGTCTTATTCTCTTTTTACCTTTTCAGAAGTCTCTGCGTAAATCTTTCTTTTGTTCATATTTGCCCTTGTTGAATGAAATTTGAGTTTTGATTATGTTGACATGTTGGTATCTTCTTGATGATTTTTTGGCATATTATTGAAAGAACATTTTCGAAAGTGTCAGTGATAATATATACATTTATGTCAAGGATGATCTGTAAATTAGCAACGTTCTCAATTGTAGGTTTCTCAGCAATATTTTGAGTGAACTTCAGTCGTGTATCGTGTAATAATAGAGTTTGCTAGTGATGATTATGATCTATGTCAACGAACAGCTTGTTCTGTATGTACCTATGTAGGATATCATCAAACACATCAAGGACCTTGGTAGGAGGTTTTATTTTTGCATCGAGGATTACATATCCCACTTAAGACCTACAACATAAATGAGACGAACACTTAAAGCAAAAGATCTTGGTATTTCACATCAGCACACAAAGAGGTTTAGGAGTATCCTCAGAACACCGACCAAATTAATAGCGGGGTAATGTACCTTTCGATAGATCAGTCAAGTTGACTCCTATTTCTCAATGCATAACATAACTGAGAATTAAAGGCGCTATATTAATATCACATCCTGCTTGTACTGATTCCAGATCGTTTTGGCTTGTGCATGTTTTTACAATTAGACACAAATAGAAACACTTATAACATAAACCCTAAGTGGTCCTACATATTTTGTGACTTGACACGTTGGATCGCCGATATTTCCCCATACACATTATTTGTTGAATATATCAGATGCTTGGTGTTGCTGCATTGTTCTACATCTATAAATACATATACCAAGTATTTTCTTGAGTTCACAAGCACTTTCTTTGCGGGAAATACATTGAGTTCGGAAAACAGGGCATGCGCAACACGTGTTTCCATATACGGGACTGAAGCATTGTGTTATAGGTATAAGGTTTCTTTATTCCTGTCCCTGTTTAGCAGTTCTATCTACTTGTCATATTATGAAAATTGTTAATGTACCAACTCGAAACTCGAAGCGAAAGCAATATATTAGAAGAAAAAATAAAAAGGCGTTTTATATCATTTTTTTCAAATTTTAATACAAGTCTCTGTTGATCAAATTACATTTTAAAAACACTTTTGTGAAATTGGTTTTTAGGACTGACAGAAATATTATATTGACAACATTTTGACTCCTTAATCATAACTGTTTCTTTTAGTAAAGTCATAACATCACACAAATATTAACGTCACGAATGAAATTATGGAAATATGATTTCCCAAAGCACAGCTTCAGTTGATATTATTAAAGGGATATCAGTGTCTTCCACCACTGATAACATGGTTGATATATAGCAAAATATACTAGACATTTTGAAATATCATGGACATGCAAAGTAATGAAATGGAAAAGGATTTTACATTTTGATTTGATTTCTCTTTTCATGGGGTTCTAGTTTCATGTCAATTTTTTATAAAACACTTTTTTCGTGGGTACTTCTATTCATGAAATTAGAAAACTATGTACTGATTAACAGCTTTTTGATTTTTAAGCATAAGAATTTGTAGATAAATACAAATAGATTCAGTGAAAATTCAGATCTCACCAAAATTAATAATTTACAGTATGTAATTTTATTCAGAAAATGTGTCATGCTTTCCTTCAGTATTGTTCAGAATCCGAAGTGAGTGCAAAGACATTATACCCGACGTTCTGCAGTACCCGCCCAACCGCCTCGCATGTGTCTCGGAGTGTTGTATCTATACTACGTCATCTAAACTGGAGAAAAGTGACCTTTGTACATTCCAGTGAACCAGAATTTGTCCACACCGCCAAATCCATCAGCAAGGTGAGTTTTGTTTAATTTCCCATGGTGATTGTTTTGGCGATTTAATTACAGTTACATAGTCATTGGGAATTCTCACTTAATTAAACAGTCATTCCATTCACAAGTTAAAAGTTAATTCAATATTAGTTACTTTACAATATTAAGACAAGCCGTCAGAGCTGTTATTACAAACCAGTTACGGACAATATGTTCGGTTACCATGGCAATATTTACTCCTCTTACAGTAGCCTCGTTCGAGTCGACGCTTGATCACATCATAATTCTCTGTTGGTCTACCGTGAACGGACGACAAGAATCGGATAGAACGAGAAAGATAATTGATTTTTATTACCGCCTAAGCGACATGCAATAGCAGCGTCGCTGAAAACATTGATAATAAATAATATATGTTTTTATGTAACGCTATGGTCTATAATTTTTTTTTCAAATGTGCATTTAAGTAGTAAAGCCTCTGGTTAATCGAAATATTATAACCAAATTGATCGAATAGTATATGTTGCCTAAAGATACAAAACGGTTCCATAGACAAATGCATGTCTTTATCTTTTTTTATCGATGACAAAAAGTATTCCTCACTTGGCTGTGCAAATTATTTCATACATGTATTACAAATTGTTGTCAAACCTCGTTTGATATACATTATATGTAACTTATACTTGTTTTCTGTGACAATGAGACAGATCAGATAGATAACATCACGTATGTCTATTTGACACTACTTGCCGCCATCAAGTATCTATTTTCTTTCTCATCAATTTTAACTTTCGTGATATATATTGTGTATTGTTTTCAGCATTTCCCTAAGTTTTCATTTTTGGGACGTTTTAAAGGTGCAGAACCTGATTAGATATGGGAAATGAGAAGACAAAAAATATTGCATAGAATAACAAGATGTTTAAAATGGATTTTAGCACCAACCATCATTTGATCTCCATTGTGTGTTCTTTATTTTCCCTGCAATTTTCTTCTTTTGTCAGATTTGCTCTTAATTCTATAAGGTTTTAGAATATGTTTAATGAAATAACAAAAATGATATCTAACTGCTAAATCAATGATGATAGCCTGTTAGTCATTTTGTTTCAAAATCAAAAGGTCGTAACTCGAGAAAATGAAAGTTGAGAGACTACATATGAAATTTGATGCATCCAATTCTTCTCCAGAAAGAGCGATAATAAATTTTCATTGTCAGCCATTTTGTTTAATCGATCAATCAAAAGGGGACAACAAAGGAACAAGGGAAACCTACATACGGTATTTTTGGAAGATTCATTCCGTTTTCAATGAATAACGATACGAAACTTTCGGTCAATTCCAATATGGCCACGAATCAGCCATTTTGTTTTCCGATCAGTCCAAGAATTCAAAAATGTTCAATAAATGCAAAGGGAACTTGCATATGAAATTTCTGAAAGATCTATCAATTCTTCTCATGAAACAGCGATAAGAAGTGTTGCTTAATTTGATCAGCCCTCCATCTGACGATGGTAGGCCAAAAAAGATGAATTTTCTCATTGTACAGAGCAAGACATCCGAATAATGTTTCTAATTGAAGCCGTGCTATATTGGGTGATTCTGACGTGTGGTTATTAGATGTTAAATAGCGGTCATTGTCATTTGTTGATGCAATTAGGGACAATAATCACTGGTCAACAGCGGTCATTACCGGTTTGTCGTTAGAGAAGTTGATATAACCTACTTGGGATCTTTGTCACACTGTCTAGTGTAATCTGACCAGGGGTGTTAATGGCTGTGCTGGTTCCGATCACACCACACCAGTTACTGTCCAATATAGGCAATTTATTCAACTCTAAACTAACTACACAGTCAGAGTATTATCTGTCCTCTACACACCAGACGTAGCAATTTAGACAATTTCTGAGAGTTTTCGATGAAAGAATCAATTGCCCATGACGCAAAGTTGCTTTATGATTCCATGACCTACATAATAATCTGCTATTTCGTTATATTTCCTCCTATCCTAGTGGTTCAACTCGACATTTCACCAAATATACGTCACTATGTCATTGTGTAATCGGGACCTTTATCCTGAAAAAAATGATCTTATATCTTAAACAAAAAGATGTGCTGACGTGTGTCGTTTTCAATACACACGACAACGACATATTTGACTGATGTTGTCCATCAATGTTGACAAATATATACAGAGAAAAGGGAGAGGTATGCAAAGTGATTTCCCATCAGATTCCATGTCAGCAAATTTATCACATTTCCCGACAACAGTCTGGCGACAATCTCGCCTTGATTTACTCAGACCACACAATCAAATTAACAGGGCAGCCTACTGTACAGTCTTAACGCACAAATTGAAGAAGATGTACAAAATCGTCTGTATTATTATCTGTATCAAACGAACAATGTCTCCGATAATTTGACAAGTAGTGTTATGGGGATAGGCTTATGTTTGTAAGTAATTTGGCATGAGGATATTTTCAATTTTCTTGTGCGATATGAAGTTGCTGATGTATTCATTTTATCCGTGTTCCCTTATGAGATTTTCTATGATCTCCGTGTCAATCTTTCTTTTCTTCCTATTTTGCAATCTAGAATCGATTTGACGCGATTATCAATTTTATAACTAATGATTGATTTTGAGTAATCATCTATCATAAATTTTAAGTAAGACATCTATTGTTTATGATCAGTTGTATTTTTGCTGGCTATATCATATAGAATAAAAATGTCACATATGCTTTGATAAATGGTATTCATTTGTACAAAACAAAAAAAAAAATAAATGGATAGAATGCCACATCACAAACTACGAAAACAATACATTTTGTTGGTATCATCATAAGTATGTTGATTGTGGTGAAGTACATTGTTCGAAAGAACCATTTCAAATTGCTATTTTTTTTTCAATTTGATGTCTGCAAAAGTCGCTCATGGCATTTGAGGTTAGTTGCCGAAGGAAATCAATAAATGTACTTTGCTTGGTAATCATGAACAGAATGTTTAATAAACTTTTCTAGGGGATTATTCACTAAAGTTGATTGAGGTATAAAGCTTGTCAGATTACTCGTTAATTGCGTGAATCATGATCCCTAGTATTAACATTGTGTTTTATTGACGTTTCTGTTCCGAACGCAATTCTTTAGTACGGCATTGACAAAAACAACAAAGAAAATACCAACACGTGAACAGAATCATAATCCAAACTCATGTTCAGTCAAATTAAGACAAATACGAAGAAAAGAAAAATCTACATGGATAATTCTGCAAAGTACACGGAGGAAAATACCAGGTTTTCCGGAAGAGAGAGCGTCTTATTTACAATTTTCTCGCCTCGATAATTTTTTTTAAAAGAATCGTCATCATCCCGTCTTAGGTGCAGACTTCATCACATCACGGCCGAAGTTTGGTTTTGCCTTGTTTTGAGATCTAAACTGTGTTCTATTTTGATTAAAACTTCCACCTTTTTCTCCACAGCTTCTTCCTCAACATGACATCGAAGTGACTTTCATGAAGGAATACAAAGGACCCTACTTCCATCTTCATACGGAGAACCCCTTCGTTCGGATCGTGTCCGAGACATTCATCGACACTCGCAGTAGGTATTCCTTCTAAGTCACCGCATAATAGTTTGAATTTATTCTATGCTTTGATACTGAAAGCCATATGATTTTTGTGAAAACTAAACTTATTCTTTATTCACGAACAAAACAAAATTATTTAGTCATTTTAGACATTTTTCAGGGTTAAGCGCATGAAAAAATGACTAAATTCTCTTCCGATGAGTGCCAAAATGTTGGACTGCCACGTGAATAACCGTAAAACGCCCAAACATACTGGAAATCTGAATAAAAACTATCCACAATTTTATCATCTCTCTCGTTACAGGGAAATAACGGACTAATCTATATATATATTTTAGTATTTACATTCTAATCTGATAATCATATTCACAGAAAGTTGTCGCAATCATATCAGTTTTTTCCGCGATGTCTTTTGCATTAAAATCCCTGTAGTGAACCACTATTGCGTATAAAATATTACGTCGTCAATCCCAGAAAAGTTCGAAGTGAAGCGCATATGAGTAGTTTGCGTGCATAATGGTTTGGAAAGATCTTACACAAGTTCATATAATGACGAAATTAACAGTACACATAAGCAATTACCATGACATTCCTTCATAACATATAAGGCATGGTTCAGCTATTGTACCTTTTCCATATGAATGATTGAACCCCGAGATCAATACCTTAGAATATTTGATAACTGTATGATCAGGTATGAAGATAACAGATATATGGGAATCACGTTCCTAGAAGGACGAAACAGTTGTATGATGTAGCATCACTGACGAGTCCTAGAAAGACGAAGCTACGGTTTGATGTAGCATTACTGACGAGTCCTAGAAAGACGAAACAGTTGTATGATGTAGCATTACTGACGAGTCCTAGAAGGACAAAACAGTTGTATGATGTAGCATTACTGACGAGTCCTAGAAGGACAAAACAGTTGTATGATGTAGCATTACTGACGAGTCCTAGAAGGACGAAACAGTTGTATGATGTAGCATTACTGACGAGTCCTAGAAGGACAAAACAGTTGTATGATGTAGCATTACTGACGAGTCCTAGAAGGATGAAGCTACGGTATGATGTAGCATCACTGACGAGTCCTAGAAGGACAAAACAGCTGTATGATGTAATATTACTGAATCACTGACGAGTACTAGTAGGACGAAACAGCTGTATGATGTAGTTAATTCATTGATTGGCTATACTTATCTTACTCTAAATTATAAAAAGGTGTTATTCTGTAAGTGACTTGACAGTGATGGTAGAGTCCCAAAGGCCAGAAACTTAAAAAGCGAATAAAGAAAAATAATGTGACCTACATAATTGATAAGAAATATGGTAGGGGGAGATGTAAAAGCCCTTACCGATTTTTTTTTTATTCAAATCACATGATGTCGAAACAATTTGACGTTCAAAAATACGTTCGGTGTTAATATTCACAAAATAATTCATGACGGTCTTCAAGTTTTCACAGACAATCTTGATTATCTCTTGTATAAGCCAAACACCGGCGAAGTTCAGTAATATAGTAATTTGGAAATTTGTCAAATGGAATGAAATACATTACACACGGACTACTAAATGTTCATTAAACTTGCTGTCGTAGCCCGGAAGGCTATTTTGACGAGTCGTAATATCAGAATGGCAAAGACGGCGCCAGAATCCGTTCATTTATATAGAAACAGCTATATCTATCTCTAGGTGATCTGATTTGGTGTGATGTCATTGCGATTGAATTGGCTGTATCTACTGTTAGATGTTGCACAGTTCTGGAATAGTGACAAGTATGCCCCTATATTGTTTTAAAATCCATCTTTATTCGTCTAAGTTTTTATTTCTTGGAAACAAAAATGATTGAAGTATTATTCTACTAAAATTGTCTTAATAAAATTACAAGTAGTTTTTTACAACACTATATAACTTTAGAATCTTGAAACTGAATCATAATCCAGCTTTTTAAAAACATATTTTGTTAAAGATATTGTTTAAACTGCAAATACGTGTAGTTTTTAGATATAGTGACTCTCTTTTATAACATTTAAATAAAACCAGATTGTGCATTGGTAACGCGCTCGTCTCCCACTTTGGCTACATGCATCGTGGTCTGATTTCCGGATCAGACGTAAAAATGGGTCAGCTACTCGACTGTAAGGATTTACACGGGCTACTTTTGATTGTCCATGGTAAGGCCCTTTTTGTGCTTCCACCAAGGTCAACAAAATTGGTTACATAAGATGGTATTACTAGTTATTGTAAGACAAAACAAGAATTATAATCAAAGGTTCCTAGTATTTGGTAGTGCTGTATTTTTTGCTTTTGTGCGATATGAAACTTGACGTGTTTAAGCTCGTTAGTTTGCCTGTTAGTTCCGTTGTTTTATATCTTGTTCTCATTTGTGAACGTGACGTTACTTACTTGGATTGACAAAGGTTAACATGATGGGTATTCTGGATGAAACAGAAGACCCTTAGTTTTCCGGAACATCTGGTCTTATTCTCCTTGCACTTTTCATGCGTTGTCTTTCTTTTGTTATGATTATGTTGACATGCTGGTTGTTAATGTTTGTTTCCTGTATGGTAGGGATAAAGAACCAATTTGTCCCATTGCTTCATCGTTGCAGAACATGAAATCTTAATCTTAACTATCCTATCCACATTTTCCTTTTGAGATCGTAGACACAAGTCTTCAGATGGTCTTTTTAATTGTACCTAGAATGTTTAATCCCAGATACATTGACATAATATCGAGAAATGAAGGTGTTTTCCCCTCACGCAATCTGGTATTTTTCCAATATATAATCAAATTTTGAGGAGAAACCGAAATACCGCAATGGTAGGAATTCATAATTTATGAAATGCGTTAGTCAACCTGGATGAATCCAATGTCGACTCATTTCAATATCTTACACAAGAGAATTTACGAAAAGCTTCTTTTCTTTGCAATTTGAGCATTTCTGTTTTACACGTGCTATTTTTGGTGTATCAAAGAACAATATATGTATAATTATCGCACATCGTTTGTTCATAATGCTGAAACCTATTTTGTTTTAATCTAGGATAAAGACCATTAGCTTTAACGAAGAAATATTCACGATAAGTACATCCGACAGCATTCTAAATGAACGCCATTGTACTTGCAGAAAACAACGATTACTGTCAGAAACAAGACCGTCCAAATTACTCAATACAGCATCACGTTCAGTTTAATCCAAAAAACAAAAACACGTAAATTTCGTGACTGTTTTATGCCTATTCCTAATCACGATGTGGAATTTAGAGAAGTCTGTTTTCCTCCGGGCTTTTTCTGCCACCGATTTAATCGAGGTACATATTCTATTCTGTCAAAGATTTTTTTGCTATTTTTACAACGAAAATAACTGCTGAGTTCCGTCCTAGATTTAATGATTGGCCTCATTAGTTTGAAACACTGTAGATCTATCCTAGATCATCAGTTGTTTTGTGATATAAGAACCACGAAAGACGCGTTGATCTAAATGATAGCTGAAGAATTTCGGGATGCCTTTGTTGTCTCAGCGCGTTATGACACGAAAGAGACAGGCATTTATCGTAGGGAATCTTTTCATATCTCATTGTACTTCTTTGATTAAGACAGGCGTGTTGACTAATTCATTTCAAATTAAGTCCTATCTAACCATATCCACTTGCAGAAACCGTACAAAAATTCCTATACATTTCAAATCAGCTCTTTCCGAAAGAGATAAAGGATTGTGGTTGTATGTGTTAATTTGGTTGACCTCAAGATTTTTTTTAATGAAGTATGTTTTAATTGGGAACGTTCAGCTCTAGGTTTAGATTATTATGCAAATATTGAAAATTGTTTGGTATCACAAAACAACGACGTGTTTTTCCTGCTCCTTAAATCCAGATTAATGCATCTCAACGAGATGTGATACGGAAAATACTTTTATTTACATATACTCCTCCATTAAAAACATGGAATATAAAGAGAAAATAATTTTCCTTTTTTGAATTTTCCATACATAAACATCTTTTTTGCTTAAAGGTTGGGTTATTCCGGGGAAAAAAGTAAGGAACGAATAAAGAACGATATAGTTCAACACTGGTTATCTTCAGCGTTACGACCTTGACTGACAATTCGTGCAGGTCTTCAGGAACACATTAAATCTGTTTTGACTTTTTTTCAAGATAACAATAAAAAAAACGACAAGAAACGTCTGAAAGAATTTTAGCGAAAAGTCTAAGAGGTTATCGGCAAACCGCTGTAATAAAGACAGTTTTAATATGTTTGTGTGAAACGCGTGTGTTTCAGATAACATAACTTGGTCAACATCACCAAATCAGTGACGCGGTTTACAAGAGTTGTGATTGAGGATTATCTGCCCTTGACATTAAACATGTATGTTCATGCTTATCACGTAACCAGACGAAAAACTTCAGACATTTATAGACAACTGGGCTATTTCTGTATTAAGGTGTCATGGACTGTTAATGTATAATGCTGTTCTATATAAAGAAGATAAAGGCATTTATGTTTTTAAAAAAAAAAATCAAAATTTTATTTTCTGTCCAGAGATGTTCTTTAAACATCTTAATGCTGTCAACTTTAATAACGAAACTTCATTTAATGGTGCGTAACTGACTTAACAAACCACCAAATTGTTTACAATTTCAACACAGTAGAGTACAAACAAGAATGACATTGATGATGATCAATCCTACAATGGTAGACTATCCTTCTTTAAGGACTCTCGTGGGAGTAGAACGTTTTTTTCATAAACAATGTTTATATTTTAACTCGGATTGATCTTATCAAGCAACGCTTGGTGGCAAGGATTTTGTGGTCGTCCTGTGTGTTAAATCGTTATAAGATTGACAGAACTGAAGAGTCAAATGCACGGAATAAGAATCACAGACTTGGAAGTAAAATGAAATAAAACTAGTAATGGGATTGGATAACATCAATATCTGAGTGTCTGGCTATTCCAGTTATCAACATTTACGAGATCAGGACATCGAAGACCGCACAATCATTAATGACCACGGGAAAGAAACAGTTTCATACATTCGACGCAATCGAACAAAACGACCGACACGAAATTGTCAACGTTTCTAGAGCTAGAGTACTATCGTATCGTGTCCGGTAAAGCATTTGTGTAATCATTCCCTGCTCTCCTTTGATAGCCAAGCCCTAGCAGTGTCTGGTTTATTTGAGCACCAGTCTGGTGCTTGCTTTCATACGTCAGTCAGCACTGCATTTAATACTGGGCGAACTTATCATGTGCTACACTCACTTTTGTCAGATTCAATCACTGCATCTGCGAAACATAGTCCTGTTGCACCGATTCAAGGTTTTAATATGCGGATACAAATACACTTACATGAGTTTAAACGTTGCAACTGCGTAAATATATTTATGATTATAATTCTCTGATGGTTTCTGACAAGTGAATAAATAAGTTTAAAAAAGGTCATTATAAAACAGCATACCTCACGTATTGAGAATTGTTTGAAAGACAAACAAGTGAAGAACGAGTTGATTACAAATTAAAGAGTTGATTCAGTAGAAGCAAATGAATAAAACTGCATTATTCAGCTGTTTTTAAGTCTTGCAATCGTCAGTGGAGCTAGCTATCGGTCTAACGTTTGAAACGTAGGATGGGACCGAGAAAAACAGACTGCTCGCAATAATATCAACATCCAGAGATACCCTAGCGTTATAATTCAATAGATTTCAAAGAAAAACACATATGTTCTACTCGAATGTGCATGTTAAGAAAGCACGTGGTTTTATTACCCGCTATAGCAAAAACATCGTTTGTTTGTTTGTTTTAAATCTGGTTACCTCATAATGCTACTGTAAATTACTTAAATTTCGCGAACATTTTATTTTGCGAACTAACCTCTTCAGACATATTCGCGAATATTTGATATCGCGAACGATGATCTAGAAATGACATTAAATTTGCGATTGATGGATTATTATTTATATATACAAAAAAGGGATTCGAATTCGCGATTGGCTCTCCTTGAGCATTAATGCGAAAATAAACCACACGCGAAATATAAGTGATTTACAGTATTCTCATATCATATCAATACGAATCTTCATTCCTTTCTGACGACCGATATTTTCTATTCAAAACAATAAGCAATGTATATCACTTGGCATGATAATGCATTACAGTAACTAAGTTATGGAAATGAGACCAATTGATCACCAATGGCATTTTTTTCTTCTTTTTCCAGTTTACGTAATGTTAGGTCAATTCTATGACTTTATCGGTCTGATGGATCACCTATATGACCGCGGCTTACTGGATACTGGCGAGTATTACGTCGTCGGGGTCACTCTCGGCCAATATGACCAGAACGACCCTCAGCAAATCATCAAAGGTGAGTGTGATATCACAAGATTATTTCCCAACGTCAACTGATAAGTATATTATAGTAAGTGTTAATGAAGACTGTTCAGAGAGGGAAAGCATAGTTTTGGATACACCACTGCTTATAATCCGACAATAATGATCAGGTTTCTTGACTTTGCTTTATCGTATGGGATCGAGAGACCCGTTTCGGTAAGAAAAAAACTATTTCTTGGCCAAAGTTTTGTTACTTCATTCGTCATGTGTTGTACTTTGCACACTGAAAAAATACCAGGTACATTGTACCGATTGAACAGGATGCCCCTAGTAATTGTAGACATGCATGTATAAAATGACGTGGTAATTATCAAAGATTGTATTATTATCTAACGCATTGTTTTGAAGACTTATCACACATGTTATCTTGTGTAAATCCATAAAATCTGGGGTTGATACGGGGGTGGGGGGAATAAAGATAAATTTGCAGAAATACGAAACTTGCTTCAGTTCAAGGGATATCTTTACAAGGCCCAATAAACAGCGATTAGTCGTGTCGACAAACCACAATGGAACATAAAAAGAGGAATCGTACCGATATAATTCCTGCGGTGATTGTAATATATAGGTCATTTCATAGCGGTCTTATCACGGAACACACTCTGTTGCATTCTAGACTCTCAAAGTTGATAATTCAACTGAGTTGCGTTTGTCTCCAGGGTTCTATTGGGACATGATTTTCTTAGCAGCATTAATTTATCTTAATTTACAATGTCTTTAATCCGATTCATCTTAATGGCAGTGCATTGTACTGTTGAGGTTTCCAGACTCCGGGAATCAATTTCCCGTATCGTACGAGTTTGATGTTCCCGTAAATGTTTTTTTCGCTGAAAGCTTTTCATTATCTCGGTATTTCCTTTGATAAAAAACTAGTTTATTTCAACATTGCCATATGCGGAAGGTTGAACGTTGCTGAAGTATTGGTTGGACAAAAAGAATAGAGTGTGAATTCCGTATGAATATCTTTATGTCTTAATGGGGTTCCCAACATTTTCTCCATCTTGTCTTTAACGGTAATCGATGATGCAACATTATCTTAACAATTTCACTCATATCCGCCTTCACGAGGGCTGCAGTACGTGTCATAGAGGCTAACGATATCTGTTTAAATTAAAAACTTAATAAAGCAGATTAAAGGTGTAAAATTTAACTGTAATGGTATGAAGTAACAAACGGAGACGACCGTCTCGAAGTTTAAAGATGCTAATTTTGTGGGTTTTATGAAACTTTCAAGGATTGATTTAAAGAAAAACAGCAGGCTTATTTTTTGTCTGAGTATACGGCATATTTTGGTCTAGAATTATGGTTGTTGGCAAAGTTTTGTAAGACTTCTTCTTCGGCATCATCCTATTACATGTCGGAAAGGAAGGAAATCATTCTACTCTGTTCACGTCAGCACTTTAAACACTACAGAACGAAAAATGCTCTTTATGTTTGCAGCATGCTAGTCTCATTCTCCGTCAATTTTTTTTCAATGGTCAAAGTTATATTGTAATTGTAATTAAATGATTGTGGAGTGACGAAATGTATGGTCATACGGCACATTTAATGTAGACTGATAGCCCATTGGTCAAAATTTGATACGAAACTTAACGGTTTTGAATAAATGCATATACTTAACGCTGTTACAAAATAACCGAGATGAGAAATTTACGAAATTTATTTAATTTTGGTACTAGTGCACCTCCCCGTCTTGATTTTTACTTTCTTACGAGATCTCTTTGAATTTTCCTCGGTTGCCTTCTAGATTTCTAGATTTAGCCCTGAGCATCACTGACGAGTCCTAGAAGGACGAAACAGCTGCATTATATAGTATCACTGACTATTCCTAGGCGAACGAAACAGCTGTATGATGCATTTTAATTCATTGTTTGGCTCTAATATACTTAACTCTAAATTTGTATCAAAGGATGCTATTCTCTTGAGTGTCTTTTGTACAATCACTGAGTATCAGACCGAATACTTCCTGACATACCCATTTAACCACGGTTTTACCTCAAAAATAATAAACACAAAGGCAAAGTTTAGTTGTAGGAACGTTTTCCATGGGTAATCTTAACGAAGTACAAGATTAAGACATTGTAAAGGTTCAGATTTAATATTGGAATTTGGTTTGAAAATGAAAAAAAAAAAAAATTCTAAGCATTTGGAATTTTTTTATTACGTTGGAATATCATTTGTTTTTAACAGGTATCTTCTCCAGTAATGTGTCCTTGACAAGTGTGAGGGCTTTCCGATATTTCATGGGAGTACTTCAGTCACCTCCAGTGTATCAGGAGTATATGGAGTTTTCTGAAAAGGTTAATCACTACCTTGAGTTGCCGCCTTTTAATTATATTAACCCGCTGAAGAACTACACTCTTAAAATAGTAAGTATCTAATCAGAAATAGTGGGATTACTTATCTGTAGTTTTGCAGACTGCATGTCAAGATGTGTAATTGCGTCAAAATACAGGACAAAATCCTAACTTAATTTGGCTGGAAGGAACGCTAGGAGACTAGCACTTTAACCAAATACTGATTCGAAATCTGATGTAGGTTAAACGAAGTGGATATAAAACAAAGAAAATATTTATTGATTTTCGAAATTCACACTGAATTCAATTATGTATCATGAAATGTATTCTGTAAAAATTGTATACCTACTTTAAACATCAGGGTCGATACAACCATATATAGCAATCACACAAAAAATAAATCTGTCATTTGACCCTTAGCAAGTTCAGTCAGTGATCACAGATATATCAATCGTTAATGTAGTTATTCCATCCTCTTGTCAATTATTAAGTGTGGTCAGTTTTCATAGATATGGTCTACACATAAGGAACTGTCAATTTACAGCTGTGGTCATTACTCTAAATATCTGGACCATACAAAAGAGCAACATCAATACGTCGACCGTCGCTTGCTCTCGGGGCCTCCAGAGATGAACCTTGTATCGAAAATGTCTTGTCGTCCAGCGCCAAATAATGACCATGTACCGTATATTCACTGATTGTATGCAAGAATCGAATTGATCTAGATGAAAAGTGACTACTTCCTAATGTCTTGCACGTTTGGCGAGGCTTTGCCGCTTTTCTAATTATCTGATATCCCACTAGTTTCAATTTCTACGTGTATAAACTCTGGAGGATAAAGTGGTATAATCCTTCCATACAACATGAAATATAAGCAAACTTCCAGTCAACCATTTAACCGACCAATCATTTGTCGATGTGATAGATACGAAAAGCAGACGAGAAACGTGTGAGTCTTTACATATACCCATTATATATAATACAGAAAACATTATCCGAAACACCTACCTAGACAATAACGGAATAAACGTAGTATCACTTCGCCATGATGATGAGCAATGATTGGTATCATTATTGTTTCGTAGCAATATATTTCTGTCCTTTATTTTTTCGTACGTTATTTGAACTCATCAGACATGCTTTATGAAGATTGAATAACCATCGATAGACCAATTTCTTTTCTCATTCGATCCGCTATTGATTACATGCAGCAAGACACATTCGCCAAAGCTGTTATTGAAATTTTGTCTATGTTGCAATAGGTAGAGGATGAGTTTGACTTGTTTTCAAATTATTAATCGGCGGTAATGAGCTCATATTATATCATATGCGGCTGAATTTATCGACGAGCGTATCAAAGCAGGTCACGAATAACGTGCAAACGCCTTCAATTTCACTTTCAGACATATAGACGTTGTCTTGCCTTTCATTACCAAGAAGTTAATTAACGCATTTCCATCGTATAAACCCACAGTATTATAAACGATGGACACGACAGATTTTACCAAGATATTCTCATAAAACGAAATCAATAGGGACAGCTTTTCATTAAGAAGTATGAGAAACGTGATTATGTCTGGTGGTTACGAGGTTGCTAACCTAATTCTCATTTGAGAACGTGACAGTTTATACTTGAATTGACCGAGATTCACATAGTGGGCGTCGTCTGTGAAGCAACAGACGCTTAACCTTCCAGAGAACTTGGTCTTACTCGCTTGTACTTTTTCAAGAGTCTTCGTATCACTATTTTTTATTCATATTTTGCCTTAATTTCATCTAAATTGAGGTTTTGATTCTCTTGGAGAGTCGGTATTTTCTTCGTTGTGTTTTTGATTGAGTGATTCTGAAATACATTATCAGATGACATGATTGGCAATCCATTCTCAATAGCAGATAGCTGTCTTCTTGACCAATTGTAAAGTAGCAGTACTTTATTTAACTGTATTACGTCATCTGGGGTTGTTAATTTTTGTTCTATAATTGAATGATTTCATAACTAAAGTGTGTGAGAATTATGTCATCTTAGTATCTTGGATGAGATTAAATTGAATTGATTAATGCAATACATTTTGTATTGGAGCATTATCAGTTATCTAAAGGTAATGTACTTATTTCTAAATTTTATACAATCCAACTAATCCAATGCAATATGAAATAATTTAATGATATTTCGTTGCATTAATCAGATATTACTGTGAATGGTGCAAGGGGTGTTTTTTTATTGTCAAGGGGTGTTTTTTTTTATTGTCAAGGGGTGTTTTTTCTTGTCAAGGGATTTGTCAACTTGGATAAAAACAGTGGAAGTCAGTCTGTATTTGATAGTCGACAAACTCAGATTCACACGCTTTGACAAGCTTCATTGTAACCATGCATTATAAATTCAAACACGTCAAAAACCCGAATGCCTTTGCCTGTGTCAATGCTCTACACGTCAAACAAGAGAGGTATTTCCTGAGTATCCTGCTGTGAACATAATAAAAAGACGAACTCTTAGCCATAAGTGATCTATGACGAAATTTAAAACAAACCTTAAAAGACACAATCGGTTATATTGAAAACAATATTCTCTCAATCGTTCATTTTTTTTGCCTGATTCTATAGAGATGTGCTCCAATCGGCGATTAAGGGCTGTTCAAATGCATCAATTTATGAAATGTATGCTAACTGTGACGTACACAAACCATGTCTTTGGCTGATTTGCAATCATTAGAAACTTGAATCTGTATTATAATGTATTTGTTCGTTTCGTTTAAAAAATAGAAAAAGAAAAAAAGGATCACCCATCATTTAAGTGTCATCTATTGCTGTAATTCTAGATTCCACCGGAAGCTGCATTCCTCTATGACGCAGTATGGTTATATGCACGTGCTGTTCATGAGGTTTTGATCGAAGGGGGCGATCCAAAGGATGGTACTTTGGTTGCGTCAAAGCTCAAATTTAAAACCTACAAAAGTAAGTTTTGAGATACAATGAATGCTTCATGCAAATTCAGAATGACTCGCAGAAGTCAAACTAAAATGTAATGTTTGTTTTACCCAAGGTAACCATTTTCATATAATTTTTTGTTTTTACATTGCGTCCATATAAAATACGAATTTCCCTTTTTAGAATAATAATTCTGACTGACAAGCACAAATTGTTTTCTTTGACAATTGTGATATCTTGTGTTGGTTTAAAGGTCAGTATTGATCCAGTAAATAAAAGAGTTATGTAATCAATGGGTTAAGGGCAACATCAACATGTACATGTTACATTGCGTGTGGGATCTTTCTTATACTTTTACCAAAGCACGGCATTATTTTCATATACAGAAAAAACACGATATTCAGAAAAAACACGATAAGTTTTACCGTTACATATTGTATAAAAAAATCCAAGAAGTACTAAAGTACTCAGATGGTGCACGTGCGTATAAATATAGTACATGCATCGCTAGCATAACATTTGATTTTAATGATGAAAAGATCTGCAAATTTATCCATAAATTGTCGAATTATTTTTATTCTTGGTATTTTCCCATTGATTTCCTCATTAACCTATTTTTGGCATTCATACTGACTTCAGGTGCTATGGGCTATGAAAATAGCATCAACTCAAATGGTGATGCCATGGGCAATTTCTCTCTGATCGCCCGGAAGTCCGTTCTGGTTGACAACAATACTGTATGGCATCTTAGTCCAATCGGCGTATTCCAACTGCACGAAAATTTTTCCGAGCTTCCGGTAGGTAGCGGGAAATACTTCGATACATCAAATATATTCCAATATATCCAGCACAGTTGGTTTATGTATTTTGTATTGATCACACTTTTGAATATTAGAAATTTAAACTTAATAGATTTTGCTGTTTAGATGATATTAGACGTCGTAAATGTATATATTTATTTTTTTTTTCATTGTATCAACACAAATAACTTCAATGTTTTTTTCTGCAACTTCTTTATCTGTAAGTAAGAATGTTAATCGGAGTTCATTCATAACAAACATATACTGAAGAGAAAAAGTCATGCAAACGAGATAAAAAATACTATTTAAATGGACTATACCGACAGCATACAATGACTCATAAATGATGAAAGAACTCATATCACACATTTATATAGTGTTCATGGAAAAATTCAAATGCTCTTTGCTCAAGCGTTTGTAGACAGAGAAATGTCATTCATTGTACAATTATCTGTATCTTAATGCATTATTGTTTAAAGTTATTTTTGATACGAATGATTTTGGTTTTATATCTGTTACGAATGTGCGTTCGTTAAGATTGTGGGTTTGCTCGGCATAATACCGTCTATTTTTTAAACCTTAAACGCGATGATTTAGCATCACTCTTCCCTCGTAATCTTCTTTCAGTGTTTCGTTTGTTCACTATTTGTGCTGATATAAGCTTATTAACTGTTGTTGGCGGTTGACAGGAATTCCGTTTGTATGACGGAGAATCATTTGACTGGCCTTATGGTAAACTCCCAGTAGACGAACCAGCTTGTGGATTTCGCCGTGAGAAATGCATCAGACCGAAAAGTAAGCCTAGTTTTCTTATATGGAGTAAAACTGGTTTCCTGTCAAGTGATGAAACCATCCGTTTCTTCAGGTCGATTTCATATATAAATTCCAGAAACGTATTTCTCTCCGTTATCAGAGATTTGCCACTCTTAAACGATAATGACTTGTCTGTATGATGAATGGGCGTTTCCTTGCGTCATAATTGAAAACCCATGTCACAATTGAACTAGCGCCTTCGAAATATCAGTGTAATTTTACAATTTAATGGATTTGAATGACGTTAGGAATGTATAAAACATTAGAATTCATTAGAATGTTTGTGGTGTAAGGTTTCTCGCAGGACGCCGCGATGACTACATATTAAATTAATGAAACAGTGAAATATTTATTTGTGATAACGTTTCTGTTTTGTTTTCTGATTTCTGATATTCTCGATGGCGTGTACTTCTGACTCTCCAAAACAAAGCATAAATGTAAATATTTTAATTTCATATATTCCTGATAGTTGGATGAACAGGAAACATAGCTCTATGTTCTTATGCAACTAGTACAATGCGTTTTCAAATGCTCAACCTATGGTGTTGACATGTCGTCGTTGATTCGATATTCAAGGGCTTGTTCCCGATATCACGATATTCGTGCAATTTGTCTTAAACTCACAACACTGGGTTACTACAGATGCTGGTTGATGAAAATAATATGGAAGTTATGTAGTCATACTGATTTATTTCTGTTTCCTTGTGCGGTATATCTCCTGTTGGTTCTGTAGTTGTTTACCTAGTTCTCATTTGGGTATATGGCATGATTTACTTGGATTGACCAAGATTTTCGTTGCGCATGTTGTCAATAAAGTAAAAGACGATTATTCTTCGGGAACACCTGGTCTTTGTCTAAATCAATCTTTTGTTCATATGTTAGCATTGTTTCATCGAATTTGGGTTGTTAGATTATCTGAAAATGTCGGTATTGTCTTTTTATTTTATTGAATTTATACATACGTTTGCTTTGACGTAGATGTCGTTTGCACACTAATGTCTTCTTATTCCTAAAGCAACAATGAATCCTCCTGACAATATGGTAATTGTATTCAGCTTTTAGCAAAAGTACATATACACAAAATGTTAAATAATTAAAGACATTGTAAACAAAATGAGACTTCAGACTGTGTTGATGTCTTTGCGGAAAAGCCGAACTGTAGTATAATTGTGATCACCAGACATAGTATTGACCTACTTTTCGAGAGGGGACTCAAGTCACCTTCGTGTGATGAATGATAGGATTACGTGCGCTTCGTGTCTCATTTTTGTCAGCAAATCTCATAGTCCTGTGATTATTTCACCAAATACATATAGATGTTTTGTAGTAACAATGTGTAATTCCATGATCTCTTGAAAGGAAACTACATAATTATATATAATAGAAATTAGAAAAAATCTAATTGAATCATTGTCTTTGCCCCAAACACGATGTATTTCTCATCCATCATTTGTCTGTGGGATCAGTGTGTGTTTGTTGTGCAAGACATCGAAAGCACTGATAAAAACAACAAGATGATGACGACAGTTATAATGAATGAAATCGGCGAAATGAAAGAAAAATTTGACTGGAAGATTTGCACTTATATTTAAAATATGTATCGAAAAAGTAAGCATCTTCTGCTTCATTCACAGTACCCTTCATAGAAATCTTATCCAATCCAAGTAAACAATATCTTCAAAAGAAAACCTCTTTGAACATCTGTGAGACTATCATGCATAAGGACGAGTGTCGAGTACATCTGTCATTGTATTACAAAGGGGACTTAAAGTCTTAACTGTTCTGCTCTTGAAGATTTCATATTTGTTTTCTGTTAACAGGTTACACTACCGAAATTTTATTTGGCGTGGCGGGAGGTATACTGCTAATCGTCATTATCATCAGTATCCTTATATACAGGTAAGTGTTTAATTAGAAATTTCAACAACATAGATGAGTAACGCCAAGAATTGAAATTGAATACAATTTGAAACAAGAAAATATTTTTAAAGGGTATATACTGCACATACCTACCAACTTCAGTTTAGAAAAAAAAAATGAACCAATTTAACAAAAAAAAAAAAAGAAAAGTTTAACGCAAAGTATGTCGAGTGCATTTCAAAGAAAAGAATATGTTACAAACACTAACAGTTTACCGTAGTCAACAACGTTTTGAGGGTAAGATCTATTTTTCAATCAGGATAGGAAACCATAAGATGGTCTTAAGCTTAAAGTAAACAGACAACTGTAAATGCTATATTTTATCCGTTACAAAACAAGTTTCAACTTAATTTTTATTGAAAGTTTCCCTTAAGAGTAGCATTACCTGATTCTAGAAAATAGAGCTTCATCAATCCTTTATACTGAACACAGCTTGTAGATATATACATCTTATCATATGACCGCGTTCATTATACAGGTGTATTTAAAACTTTTAAAACTCCATCGTCTTTATGAATTCTGTATCGATTTCTTTCAAGTTTGCGTTTCGGTTTGTTTTGTGTCATTGCGTCAAGGAAAAGAATATTGTTTTGTTTAATCTATTGATATATACTAATGTAGTCAAAGATATTGATCTTTTCCTTAATCTTTAATCATCTCTTATATCTCGCTGTTGATTGTCAAGGGACAAACTGTATATATATCTGTGTAACACGGTCCGTTAAGATAACCTTTATAAACACCATCTACAAGGTTTTGTTTTCTCAATTCCATCTTCTGGAAATCCTGAAGGAAAGGATAATGCAATCTGTTTTATATATCACAAACACGAATGAACAAAAGACATACTTATATGACATACATATATAACATACATAGATGACAAACAGAAACAGAATTCAAACCAAACAATCTGTCATCACGATGTAGTTTGTACAATAAACCATTAAATTGATCGGATGTTCTACATAAACCATGATGCGTGAAGATATGTGATGTAATATGTTTAACCATCCTTTAATATGCTTCCATATTGAAGAGTTCATCGTTAGTATCACTGTGCGTTATTTCACTCTCGTTGGAAATGTGCGAATAAATTTATCAATAAGAAACGAATGGCGTATATGTCTTAAATCGACGTAGGAGGGTTTTTTCACAGTTTACTATTAGTTGTGTGTCTCTTCAATAAAAGTGGTTTGTGTTAAAATTACTTGTTTTTGTCAGTTTAAAAATACGAGATATTTGGAATTTGCATGAAATTAACGCTCCCTACCCACCACCCCCTCCCCCCAAAAAGGGCGTTTTATAATGATATAACCCTGGACATTACTATAATACATTACGTCTCTGGTAGAAGCTGCTTACCATGCAGTTATTAAAAAGTTATTATTATTAGTAGTGTGAATAAAATATATTGTGTATGCAGTATAAATACAGCGAAACCAATAGTTATAGTGTTTATAGTTTACTTTGAAAATCGACCAAAAATTTCAACGTTAAAATGGGATAAAAATGAAAAAAGGGTTTTTAAATCCTTTTTGATGACCATCGTCATATACGTACTTTACACGTTGAGACATTGCGAACGAACCTAAAGGCTGTTTTTTTGTACTTAGTGCCATTCGTTCGGTTTAAGGCGCTTTTAAAGCCACGTGTTTGTTGTAAATCCAACATGTAACAGTTCGTAAGTTGTACCACCGCACCGAACGCACGTTTGAACAGATAATGGCAGTAAATTGTTATTTACTGAACATATGGACATTACTGTCATCAACAACGTCTAGTGGTGTCTATCACCATATAGAAGAGTAAGTGAACATAATTACCTATCTCCGTATATGCTATTATCTGGGACTAGATATTTGGACTGTGTGTTTGCCACCTTACCATCAGTGAGAGACATGATAAATAGTGTATTTTGACGTATAATCCGTCAGATGTTTAAGGCAAGAGTCAAATTCGTATGTAGGTCTGGTCTGATTTCAAAGCTGGCGATATGAGCAAGACCATGCAAATCGACATAAGTAAATATAAAACTGTGTTAGAATAGTATACTGATATTTGCTGAAGAGTCAAATTCGTATGTAGGTCTATTTTGTTTCCAGGAACTGGCGATATGAACAAGACCTTGCAAGCCTGCTGTGGAAAATAGATTATAAAGATATATCAATGCAAAATCAATTCGGCGGCACCATGAACCATATGTTGTCAACAAATAGGGTAAGGAATTGTAGTAATTAGTTTTCTTTACTCAATAACGCTAGTAGCAAGGTCTTTTAATATTCTCAAACCTTCAATGATTGTGAAATAAATTACTTCCCTTTCTGTCAGCATAACAGGATTTCCAGATTTTTGTCTGCTATTTCCTTGACATTCTAGCACGTTAGTAAGCTTCTGGTTTTTCTACTTACATCATTATTACATCTAGCTGCAGTATTGAACAGTTATAAGGGAGACGGTGCCAATTGGGTCCCGACTAATGACAAAAGCATGTCTACTCTTGCCAGCACGTTTATTACGGCAACATCCTAAATACTGCAGAAATTGATATTGTACTTCAAACTATTCCAATTTGATATTCTGACAACAATAACTCACTTTCTTGATGTGTTTGTATAGACTTAAATATCACCGAATCAGTTAATTAACTTTGGAGATATGATTAAGATACACAGAAACCCTGGTTCATGTTAGTGTACTTATATCTTGATTGATTTAATAGAATGACTCAACTCTAAATCTTTCGAACCTAACCTTTCAACAAGGAATTATATAGTCCTTTCCAAGTTCTCACATCCATGTTTTAGCCACATATTGGAATTTCAGATACATCATGAAAAATCGTTAAATTGTAAATTTACTTAATCATAAGAATAGTACATCTCTCCCGTCTGGATTTTGACTTTTCTGTTGATCACTTCGGATTTTCCCAAATCGCCCCCCACCCCTAGATTTGAATATATTTAGGCCCTTAGCATCACTGATGAGTCCTAAAAAGATGAATCAGTTTAAATCACAGTTTGGCTACATTTTATTTAACTCTATATTATTGTACCAAAGGTGTTATTCACATTTGTGTCTTTTGTACAGAATATGACGTCATCATTGATGTAGTTGATATATCGCAATGGTTGTACAAAATACATACCTTTAATTAAAAATTTAGAATTAGATAAAGAAGAACCAAATATCAATCTAAAACTTTGTCTTAATGACCTGATATATGGCATGCATCTTCTATTATTTACAGGTAGGTAAAAAAAAACGAGTTTTTTCGCAAATATATCCTAGTGACATAAAAGTGTTACATTGAACATTCATCGGTCAAGAGGTCAACGCTAAGGTATATGGGCAAGTACTTCTACTAATGGTAAAAAACATAATTCAACGGTTAAAACACAACTGGTGTAGAGAGGATAGGTACAGTGTTATCATTAAACGATAAATAGTCTAACAATTGTTACATAATATCTAAGTACCCAGTAATAAATGAAATAAATTTAATTCCCTATTTGCGCATGCGCAAACAATGTAAATGTTTCAGTAATGTCGTCAACAGACGATAATGTTGTATTCATAAGTGCTGTTATAAAGCATGCAGTTTATATATCGATAACGATGATTCTGTCTGGCTGGCTGGGTGATTAAATTGCTGTTAAGAGTTGATAAATAAACGTTCGTTGTAATGATGATAAACAAGACTGACGAGGTGGGTCTAGATTGTTAAGGATACGGACGTTCAATTAAATTCATTGTCAAATAAAACAGTGATTCATTGGGAATATTGTTTCCGGTGATTAACTAGTCATATATAGGGCACATAGCAATCATTTCTCTCTACTATAACATAACTTTATTGAAATGACAATCAAAGAAGGACTGTACAAACAGTTAGATATAACTATAGTACAGCTCTCATGAAATAACTGCACGGGATGTTCATCCACTACTCCATATTCACACAATGGCACGGTACAGATATAATCTTAATGTTACGTGACTAAGAACGGCAGGAAAATTAAAGTTCTTTTGAATTTTGGAATTATCTTTTGCGAGTAATCATTGGAAGTAAGTGACATTAACCAGTGCTGGAGCAATCATACATGACTCATCGTATTTATTCAAGTCTCACCTATCTGATCAAATCCATGAGGTCTAGAAACAAAAAAATGTTGCCGTATTCAAAAGTTTTAGGTATTGTGTTCAAATGAGGTTTTGCTAAATTTGCAAAGTCGTCGCATCTAGAACATCATACAATTTTAGGGGTCATTTTCGATGCAGGTAAGTGTTTGCCCGTTTCGCCCTTTGCAACTTTATATCGTAAAAGAGTAGCTAAATGTAAATATATATTTATGTATATACCATTTGAGGGCGAATGTAACACCGCTAGAAGATTAAGAGCATTATATGCAAGAAAATTTAACGCCTATAGCGATCATGTATTTCACTACAAGACATTTTCAGTATCACAATCGTTATTTGTATGTATCGCTATTGTAATGCGTCAGACAGTGTGATGTAATGAATAACAAGGACATCTATGTGTTTTCTTGATGTTATCTAGAACAAACGTGCTGCATAGAGAAACAAAATTAATTTCTTTTTTTACAAAACAGTACCTCGCTCAAAGTTCGACGCTTTCAGTTTGCTTTTTATTAACAAAACACTTCAACGCCATTAATTACATCACTAGTCCAAATCCAACAATAGTTTATTAGTCGACATGAGTAACACTGAAACTTTGTCAGAAACTGAAGTATGATGAACACAGACATTTTTGCTGAAGGCTTCCAAGAATTAAATTAGACAACCTTGAGCGTAATTAAGTAGCACGTCAATTATTTTGAAGATTCTTTTCCGTCGTTCGTTGGATTTAAAATGTGATGGACACAATGATCGAAAGCTGCTACAAGAGGTTTGAATGACTAAAGTCTCCTGGAAATGTCGATATATCATATTGTAATGTTTTTTAAAAGTGGTGGTGTTAAGGACCTGTTTGTCACGCACCACTCGTGAACAAAAACATAATGAAAAGCAAAGAGAGAATTAATCATTATCCAACTTAAATAAGTATTTATATCGTAATATTATTTTTTTATTATGTTCGTGACCAAAGCGACTATACAACGACTGATCCGAGTACCAATTAACTTAATTAGGTGACCTGACCATTCGAGAACATTGTACAATATTTACTTGCCGAAATATTTGCTATTAAATTCCAATGTCCTCGGTCTGTAAAGGTCGCGATTTTTGTTTAAAATGCTTCATCATGTACTCGATCATTTGCGCGTTTGAAAGAGTCAGTATTGCAAAGATTCTAAACGACACTGAAGTTATTCCAGAAATTTATCGGCTACGTTTTCCTTACGAAGCAAACTACTACCGGAATGTAATTTGGTGCAAACAGTCAATAATTTATGGTACAGTGTTGTGTTAAACAATGACTCGGTTATGACTAGGTTCGAAGCTCAGCTGTGAAACTTTTTACTCTGCCCGACATTTCTAAGATAAATTTACATGTTAAATACACTAACATGTAAATACTTATTAACAGTTAGCATGTAATAACACTTTTCTCTTTTTAACACAAACAGGTCAAACAAAATTAACCAAGAGAACATTAGAACATTCAGTGAGAATAAACCAGGTGTTACGGAAGAGTAAACGTTTTCTGCTAAAAAGATGTGACCCTTCGTGTTTATATATGACAATTCTAGATATTATCATAAAAGAATCAAAACCAGATTAGTGACGAGGCGAACAGTAAGCATGATACACTCCAATTTTCATACTGCATAATAAAAATAAGCTTTAAATATTAACTGAGGAATGCAAGTATTGTTAAACATGTGTCTCTAGTAATTCAGTTATCAGTAATGCACCAGTAACGCAATTCAGTCATTAACTTGAACAAAAAGGTCAATTACCTTTTAGTCTATAACACTTAACACTTGAGTAAAGTACTGTTCTAACGTTTCGATAAATTTGACATTTTCATCTCTGAACGTGTTTTAGACAAGAATGGGAAGAACTACAAGTCAGATATCATTAGGATCCCAGAACGAGATCGACTTCCGACAATTGTTCACTAAAGTCGGAACGTACAGAGGAACGATCGCTGCCATTCGCATTGTCAACAAGAAGAATGTGGAATTAACACGCAATGTCAGGAAAGAACTCAAATTGGTAAATATGCTAATGGCAGATATCAACACATATTTGCATTAAGATGATTTTTGCTTTACTTTTGCAGTCTAATATACTGATGATGTTTTCTCTGCTTTAGAAAAAAGATAAACACATAGTGAAAAGACAATATAGTTAGTCATCAAATCTAATTTTGCATCGGGTCTTGAAAACCAAAAGGGAGGCAACTCCAGCTTACAATTGCACGGACATCTTAGTAAATATATCCTATTTTATACACGTTCTATGCATATTTTCTGGCTAATTGGTGTTATATTTTGTTTAGATGAGGGAATTACGTCACGATAATATCAATCCATTTATCGGAGCTTGTATCGATTCCCCACATATACTGATCGTGTCCGCCTACTGTCCGAGGGGCAGTCTCCAGGTACTTACATTACTGGCATATTGAATCCATTTGATTTGTATATGTACCAAATAATTTCAGATAAAATATTTATAAGCGTGATATATTGATAAAGTTTTCATACGCAATTGATCCTCATTTATTTCAGTTTTATCCCTACAAAAGTTTTACGCGGATCTTTATCAATATATTTCAATTTCTCAAATTTGGTGAAAATTAATAGCAGCCATTCAAGAATTAATTATAAACTGATAAATAGATATTGTGTGCGTACTTAAACGTCCAACTGTAAATAATTTCTGTTTTACAGGACATCTTAGAGAATGATGATCTACAATTAGACAGTATGTTTATAGCGTCGCTGGTGTTTGATATACTTCGGGTAAGTACCGATCCGACAGGTCATCTAATACCAATATAAGTGATTCATAATTCATAAAATCAAATGTTTAAAGTCGAATACAATCGAACTTCGTTATATCGAATTCTTATAACTGGAATACCCCGTTTAATTCGAAGCACTTCGTCGATACGACCAAACGTCACATTGAACATTTCAGCTAACTTAAAATGGATACCCGGATAACTCCAAGTTTTTCCACGGTCCCGTCCGCTTCGAGATAACGAGGTTCGAATTATATGAGATTGAAAGTGTTATTTCAATATTGTTTGTAGATACAATTGTATTTATCTGTGCGATTAATGCTGTTTTCGCCGCATAAAGAAATTCAAAACAGCGGAATATACTTTCCATTTCTTGTTCTTACATAGAACAGATTTCTAATTTGTGTAACGTAAATCAATGTTACATGAATATAAAATTCCTGTCTGCTTTAGGCGGCCATTACAATGTTGTATTATCAAAAATATTTGTCTTTTAACATCCAGGGAATGATATATCTTCACGGGAGTGAGATTCGATACCACGGCAAACTGAGATCTTCTAATTGTGTAGTGGACAGTCGGTGGGTGGTCAAGATAACAGATTTCGGGCTTAACGAATTTGTAGCTGGAGCGGAGGAAAACTTAGAAGAATACGCTTACTATAGAAGTAAGATATTTATAACATAGATCAAAGGACCAATAAACTGCAAAAAATGCGTAGCTGTATCTGTCCAGAGACTCCGACACAGCTGAAAATCTGTTTAAATATCAGTAAAAAGCATATAAAGCCTCTCGTAGGTCAAGGCAATAAACGAAGTTCTCATAAGTCTCATCGTCTGTTTCAAGGGAGGTAACTTCAAAAAGGTCTTAACTGAAAACCTCATAAACAAAGTAAACAGACTTTCTATATCACAGTTTAAATAAAGTTTAAGGTTTTGGCAGTCTGATAATATGCAGAAAAGCTGATCTGATACAGTGCCAAATCGACTAGAATTTTTAGAACACAATGAAACACCCCGGCGAATAAAAAACAAGATCCGTGTCTGCCAAAGATACTTATAAATAATTATGTTTTTTTAATTATCAGATCTGCTTTGGTTAGCTCCTGAGATCTTACGAAGGACTAAATTTCGTCGGATATCTGGCACACAAGCAGGAGATGTATATTCATTCGCTATAATTCTGTATGAAATACACAGCCGACGAGGACCATACGGTAACACAACCTTATCTCCCAAAGGTATGTCACTCTAGTTGTCTTGTCTTTTAAACAAAAGGTTGCATTATACAACAAGTACCTGCGTACTTGTACTTTCTTTGGTGTGTTAGCTCTGTATAAGTAATGTGTTATCTTTCATGAATATAAGAAATATGAAAACATAATACTAATTAGAAATTTATGTATGTGATTAACTGCAAAGAATGTGGCTTTCAATATAATATGATAATATAATAATGACATATGATATTATAATATAATATTAAATGGTAATACATATAATAATATAAAATAATATTATATAATGATAATATAATATCATAATATAATATAACATATTACAATATAATAACATTGGAATTATGATTGCTATAATATAGTTTCTACAGAAGTATCCAGTTGGTATAATATAAAGTTGATTCATGTGAGTTGAGTACCTTGTGTGTAAATTACTTCTAGGCCCGAAAAAAACCCATAAAATTGTCGTTTTTTCCGTTAGCTTGATCCATACTCGTAACCTTATATTGAAATAATAATTATAAATGAGCTTATTATGTTAAAACATTTATTATTTCTACTGCGACAGATATAATCAAACGAGTAGCTTCTACGACTGTCGATCCTCCTTTCCGCCCTCGTCTTGCTGAACTTGACACCACACCCAAATTTGTGACCGATGTGATCAAGGAATGTTGGGACGAAGATCCTATCAAACGACCAGACTTCAAGACAATCCGAACAAAACTGAAACCGTTACAGAAAGGAATGTATGTACTCGTAATAAGTATTTACCTTGAACCTACAGTCATTGAGGAAATAAATTCAGTAATTCATGGTTCGGTCCTACTGTATCTAACTAAGTTTTTAATTAAAATGTGTTATTCGATTGTGTGTCTTTGGTATAATAATTTAACACTTACTTTGGGAAATTGATAAGGAAACAATCTAACAATGTACTGTTAAAATAAATGCTATAACCGTCGATTTCCCGTCATTGTTGTATGTGAGATAGGTTTTCTTTTCGTTGAAGATGTCGCGCATTACTGTGATGATGTCAGATTATACAAGACAACAATTTTAATAAAAAAATTAGCGTAAGATACAGTCGAGCCAAGCAATCAATCAAACTACATCATACAGCAGTTTCGTTCTTCTAGGACTCGTCAATAATGCTAGGGGCCTAAATCTGGAAGCCGAGGAGACTACTGAGGAAATTTGAAAGTGATCAAAAGAAATGTCAAAATTATGATGGGGAGGTGCACTACCTCGAAAGTCAAATTTTCGTAATTCTCACATTATGATAATGTTAAAGAACGTCAAATACAAGTGTATGAATTAAAACGTGACATTCAGGTTACGGCACACATTGGGGTTAAACGTTTATGAGTGTCTACCACCTGCAATCTCGAAGACAAAAGTCTAGCAGTTTTTTTTATGAATATAACAGACCTACGTGTTTCAAATCGCCCGTCGGCCCTGGTCCGTCGTCGGTCCGTCCATCCGTAAACAATTTTAGTTATTGCTATTTCTTGAGGACTACTGTATGTTTCCCAGTTTTTTTTAGATTTGTAATAAATCGTGTTCAGATTAAAGTGAATAAACCATATATTTAAAAGAAACAAATAATCAATGTTGATTAAAATTCAGAGACTATTTCAAAGTTTCTCTATTTTCTATATTCCAACAGGAAGCCAAATATTTTCGATAATATGATAGCTATCATGGAAAAGTATGCGAGTAACCTTGAAGCGGTTGTGGAAGAACGTACCGACCAACTTATTGAGGAAAAGAAGAAAACCGAGGAACTTCTGCAACAGATGCTGCCAAGGTAAAAAGCAACATCGGAAACCTGATGCCGGACACCGGAATGTTTAAATCGGACTGTGGATCAACGACTGATAAATTTTACTCTGATTAAAGCTCCTGCTGATAGTAGTATCTTTATGGGTCCATTATGACCTTTATAGTTGGCGTATAGAGAGTAATATCAGTGCAATGGTTATGATTAAATTTCCCTCTAATTCCGAACAGGTTCTTGTAAATTACATTTTGGATATATTTTACAGAAAATATATACAAATCAACAATTTATCAAGAATATGAAAATGTATAATCATAATTTGTAAAATCTACATTAATTTCCACCTTAATTGTATGCTTTTCAAGTTGATTTATTTTGTAATTTGTATGTAATGCTCTTCATCTTTGGAGGAAATAAAGACAATAATAATTATACTCTTCGAAGTAAGAGTGTTTTTGAAGCAGCTTTCTTCTCATTTACCCTAACATTTGCAGCTATATCCTTAAAAGTGAGAAAATCCAAGATAATCAGTCATGCGTGGAAAATTTAAATTGCTTCATTTAATGAAAAAAATAACCCAGTCGAGAAAGTTATCTTTATGCAAAATGAAAACATGTCCAAATCGTTGTTCTATCAAAACAAAGGGAGATTACTTTGACGGTCTTAATCTTCCTCCGACAGATACGTTGCAGAACAATTGAAGCGGGGCAAAGAGGTGGAGGCAGAGTCGTTTGATTCCGTGACGATCTACTTTAGTGATATATGCGGATTTACCGCCATGTCCTCCGAAAGCACCCCAATGCAAGTATGTACATATAATAACGATCAAACAACATATTTGTTTTCCTTACTAAGTAAGAGTTTTATATCCTGTTTATGAAATTTCGATTCGATTGCAAATGAAACTTGTGACTATTATACTGAACGGAATTAACGTGACCAAGACTGGTGTACCATGTACTAAATATCAGTATTATAGAATAAGAATTTGCAAGGTTCTGAAAACTAAAATTTCGTTAGAACCTTTTTTTCTGACATCTATGGAGTTATTTGAAGTTAGAAATACCAGATATTTTAGTATAGTCAATTCTGTGAAAAAAAATGATTCCCAAAAAAATGAGAAAGTTATTTTTGTGAGAATCTGATAAAGGCGACAGTATGGTATATTATTATTTTCCTCGTTGTTATTTTGTCTGCCATATTTCTTACCGATTTCATTCAGAATTACGCCGATGTTCAAACTGGTATCGTTTTCAATTTGGCGAATCTGATGGCGTGTACCATTTGATCCTTTGACTATTATAGACTTGGCCTGTAAGGAGTTGTCATCTTATCATTGTATATTTTGTTTTGTCTTCAGGTTGTTAATCTACTGAATGATTTGTATACACTATTCGACTCTATTGTTGAGAACTATGACGTGTACAAAGTGGAGACGATAGGAGATGCCTATATGGTTGTTAGTGGTTTGCCAAAGAGGAATGGCATCAATCATGCGGGAGAGATAGCGTCAATGTCTCTTCATTTGCTGGACGCCATAAAAAAGTTCAAGATCCGTCACCGTCCAGATGCCACAATCCGTCTGAGGGTAGGAATCCACTCTGGTTCGTGTGTGGCGGGGGTGGTGGGACTTAAAATGCCGCGGTACTGTCTGTTTGGAGATACAGTCAACACTGCGTCACGGATGGAATCTACGGGGGAAGGTAAGCGGTTGATTACCAAAATATTCACATCATTTCATTCTGCGCAAAAGAAAAAAAATCAATCTTTTATCGGGATAAGTATGTTTTCAGTATAGTCAAAAAATATTTTGTTGCCTCCAGATCGAAAGATCGGGGGCACATTGTTTTTGTGCTGTCTGTGTGTTGTCAACTTTAACCTTGCCCTTATCTAGAGGAAGGGTTTTCATATTTGACACGTGTGTTTCTTGTGACAAGGCCTTTCCGTAGTACAGAATTGTTTTACCATGTGACCTTGACCGTGACCTTTGACCCCACATTTGAAGAAAAAAAATAACATCGGTCATAACTATTGCATCATAAGAGGAATGACTTTCATATATGGCATGTGTGTACCTTCTGACAAGACCTTTCTGGTGATACAAGACCTTGACTGTAACCTTTTGACCTAAATTGGAATGTTAAACAAATTATTACCACAATAAAAACATAAGTGTTTCACAAGTGTGCACGCAGTTAGCACATGTCTTACAGAATAAAGTTTGGAAGATCCCACTTCAGAATTTTGTTGTAACCGGGGTTACTGTGTTTCATAAACACGTCCTGTTTTTTATATTTTCTAAGTGTGTAATGGTGCGAATATATCACTGCATCACATAGAACATTTACATAACACATGTATGTTGAAGAATAATTTAATCGTTATTTTGATGTTTGCCAGGAATTGTGTAATGATGTGGATAAAAACCAATATTTCAGCCTTGAAGATTCATTGTTCGAACACAACACGTATGCTTCTGGAGGATCTGGGCGGTTACCACCTGACAGAACGGGGCATGGTTACAATGAAGGTATTTATGAACGGCAAAATCATATTTATCTGGGCTTTCACTGTCTAGGCAACGCTTTCCGTGTTTCTATAAAATGACAATCAAGTCTTTTTTATGAACATAAGATACATACATAATTCATGTTTGAAGTCTGCTTCCACGTTCGTATCATCTATCACTAGATGAAATTATCCAAATATTTTCTAAAACATAATTCAGCTGTCGATATTATTGACTTAATGCACTGTGTTATTTGTGTGACGATCTACAGGAGTGTTTGCCATATCTTCCGCGATATCAAACAATCATGCATGTATATTATATACAGACATATACTTTGAGATGCCAATCCTCTGCTCCTTTTTAACTATAATTTCCTGAGTTCAGCTTTAACTATAATAATTGATTTTGGTATATGTTTTATAACTTCATCAGTCCTCAATGGGAAACGGGAAGATTTAAGTAAATTTTGCTATTGTGCCTGTCCGTCCATTCTTTCTTCTGCTATCTCTTAAATAACTCACTGGAACTTCATACTTGGGGTAAAGGTTCACCTGGGTCACTCACACTTTAGTCTTTGACCTACATCAAAGAAAAAGTTTGTCCGAGATCTAATCCCTAAAACTCTGGTCTCTGGACGTCTTACTTGGAGCATGGGATCAAAAGCAGAATTCTAAGCATATGATCTTAAATTCGGTTGGGGACTGTGGTTCGCCGAATCGTCTTGTTTGAATTAGTTTGAAACTGTGTCGATCTCCCATTTAATGCGAGTCTGACCACACCCTTGTGTGCACTGACCTTGTAACATATCATGATATTCTCTTAAATGTCGGTGATCTTACAAAGAATTTGCCATATTGTTTTTTTAGGGAAAGGGTGAAGTATTGACTTATTGGTTGATTGGCGAAGACAAGCGTCACCGAGTAAAACGTCTGTCCGCAAGTGATAGCCCAGTTAAGAGTCCGTCCCTCTCCGGGAATAACAACAGGCTGTCTGATATCCAATGTGTTTGTAGAGGCCAGGATAATACCGACCCTCTACGGAACAACTTTGGCAACAATCAATACCTTAACCAAAATGGTGACGCTGTGCCACTTTTCACGAATCCAGGATCAAATAAACAGCATTTCTTAAAGATGTGGCCTCAGAAACAAATTAACAAGATGGCTTCACCTAGATCATGGAAACAGCTTCATTTCTCTGACAGTGATAACGAGGACAAGGATCATGATGGTTTGAATAACCGTGTATCCGTAGAAATGTCCCCTCTAATCACATCCGCCCAAGGAACGAGTCGAACATCGGGTTACCCGTATGAAGAAGTGTAGTAACTATAGTGTTTCTGAATGTCTCTGCCTGTAGATATTTTTATACTGTGATATACCATGGTGCATACTGTGGCCGATTGAAAGTGCGGAAATGTACACAATATTGTTACAAACTTCTGTAAACATAGGCTATCGCATGTCGCGGTCGCTAAGAGTTAATTGACAATGACCATCATGCTTAGTAATGTTTGACTATAACACAATGAGATTCGCACCGATTCATACACAGGTTGTTATTGATCCTTCCATTATTGGTCATAAATGTGTTATGATCCATGCATTTTTAGTGTTCTTGCTTCTTAGCATTTTGTACCTTAATTAACAGATTTGTCTAATTAATTGATTTTGTGGACATTGATAAATAATTTCGCTTAAGTCGTTGTTCAAGTGGAAAAAGTGTATTTTGTGATAATTTTTTTTATTTGTAAAGCAAAGCAGATTTTGTACATACAGATCCTGTGAAAGGGGAACCTGTTGGTTTGTATATTTCAGCCCAATGATGCACTTGATAAAAATTGGAATCATAAATATTTTAAATCAAAATAAACAACTAATTATGTGTTGTAATAAAAATCAAAATTAGAAAAGTAAAAAATGAAAAGAAAAAAAAAATCTGAAAAATGTTAAAATATGGTTCTTTCTGTTTTTAAAGAAATATTTTTCAGTTTTATCAAACATACTTAATTGAAAACCTCGATTCATTTATTCTTGCATAACCTGCGAGAAACATAGAACCAATAATAATCTGACGACTATATTAATTCCTGGTGATTAAAAACTACATACCTTGACTTGTTTTCATATTGTGTGACGGAACAATCAGTAAATGCAGAAATCTGTTACCTTCAAAACACGGTCATATTTTTTTAACTATATATACAGGGGTTTCCAGGCGAATTTTTAAAATATTTTTTTCCTTTGCCTTAGTCGTTGGCACTTTTGATGCTGTCTTATGTTTGATATAAAACATGTACTACTGTCTCTTAAAATGCAATTATGAGATAAGTAATGTTATCATACTCTTTCATTCACTAGTGGGCAACATATGTCGAGATACCACAAATGATAATTGATCCGTGTTTCGTATATTTCTTTAAACAAATGAATCCCCAAATCCAGGATATCTATTTGTTTACTTTGTTAGACTGGGTGTTTATATTCAATTAAACAGAACAAGTGAAGCTAACTGTGATATTTGGTTACTATTTTGATGTTCTCACTCCACATTTGTGGATGGATGTGTCCGGTGTTCGTATGATCTTGTGAATCCATTCGACATTATATTCTACATCAAATCTGTGCTCTGTAGATAATTTGTTGTTGTTTGTGTAAAAAAGCAATGCTGAAATACAAAAAATATTTTTGTAGTTTTTTACGTGTTTTCGTCTTATCTATATTAACGAGATTGTCAGCGATTTAAGTTGTGTAAGATCTTGCATTGTTTGTATCTAAACAAGGATATCACAGGTAGTTACCATATGTCCCTGTCCCATGCTAACAGATACAGATTATTGTATCGAGAAATAAAAACAATCTCATATAGATGCCACTAAAAAGTGGAATTTTATCAAATTATATCAAAGTCTACCAAGTTTGAACGAAATTGGACAACAGTGAGGGAGAGGATCTGCAAATCAAAAAGATGAACAAAGCAAAAGGGCCATAACTCTTCTAAAACGTGTTGAGTAAAACCCTACAGCGGAAAATAGTTTTATATGATTTTATGAAAAAACGTTCAAAGTGTAAAGAGACTCTACCAAAAACTATGGAATCAAATTGTCGCGGAAAAAATACACATTTTTATGTCACAGTAAAAAAGGAAGAAATCTATTACAAAATGAGTGAAGATATCCAGACGAGATCAAGAATATGAAATAAAAAAGGTGTAGTATCTCCTCAAAACATTTCGATTAACACTGCCGTTTAGGAAATCTCAACTTCATGTCACGGTGATGCATGTAAACCTAGTTTGAATGAGAAAACAGACAGAAAATTTCCGAATAAGATTTATATTATGAAAACAACAAGAGACATTATCTTTTCTAAATACGCTCGAATCAACCAGGCGCTAAAGAAAAAAAACAACTTCACGTCAGTTTGATTAAGCCTGCGAAAGTTGAGAGCGATCGGTGTAATACTGTGAGCGATCTTCGCACAAATTAAAGTTTACGACGGACGATCAGTCGAACAACGACATACCATAATGCGTCTCGTCATTATGTTTACGAACATATACAAATTCCGTTTTCTTATGTGATTCATACAAAAAAATTATCGCATATTCCACATGAATTGGCTATTTTTAAACTTTCATGCAATATTGAAAATTACATTTTTCATAATTTGGCGTTTGCGGGTTAGTGCATTCTCTCGCGACGTTTTTTTTATATATTTATTTCGATCAATTTGGGTTTTTTTTTTTCAGCCGCCTCATGATTTCTTTAAAAAAAATCATTGGCACCACTGACAAGTCCTAGAAAAACGAAAAAGGTCAATGGTACAATTTGAAATTATTTTTTAGGTCTACACCATCTAATTTTGAATTTGTATTGAAGGGTTATTTCTTAACGTGTTTTAACAATCATTGATGCTCATAAGTATACCTGGTGGCTTCGATGTTGCTAACTTTGTTATTTCGGACGGACTTTGCTAACTTGACGGCGACAATTGATACCGCTTGTGTCGTCGAGGAAGCAGAAGCCGATAACACTTCCGGAACACCTGATATTTTTCCATGTTCTTTTCGAATGGTCTGCATGTTAATCCGTTTTTGTTTATAATTTTTTTATTGATTTTGAGTTTATATTAATACTTTCTTTATTTGTTTAATTCGACTAGTAGAACGCATGAGTGACGTAGTTGAAAGCACCCAACAACAGATTAACAAAAGTTTCAACTGAAAGACAACATAGCGAATTGCTAATTACAATACAATGTAAAAATACAAGATTATATCGTTCACGACATCCATTCATGTAACATTCTCTGTGTAAATGTGAAAAAAATATATTGCTTTCAATGAGAACCCAATAGACGTTGATGTTGATGCTCAAACAGCTGAAAGCATTTGGCATCCATCTTCCATGTATCTTTTCTACAGTACTTTGAAAGATCTTGGAATGCGGTGATTGCCTTCTTATTGCATGTTTCTGACATCGCCGTATATCAATACACGATTCTAATTAAAACAGGAGGAACAGTATTGGAATGGAAATGAAAAGAGGATCAGTTTGAGAAAATATAGCTTTAATTATCGTTTTAGCATTTACAAAACATTTTACAACACAATGCATTTGGAATCGGAATTCATTTGACTCTTTTTGGAACATTTATAAGCTGTTGAAAATTTTGGAAAATTTGAAAGCGATCCGTGAACTCTGAAACGTAAGAAAATAATACATTGTTAACGAAGAAATAAATTATTAGATATTTAATCCTTATGAAATGGTCTTGTCTATGTGACCCTTTATAGTAAAGAAACAAAATCATAATGTAACGCCTTACACACACTGAGGATATTACTTTGAAATGATATTTAAACAACTTTTTAAAAATATCTATAAATAATATGTATCTTACTTTGTGTGTATACTGTTAAAACTGTTATTTTTGAGATGAATTTTAAAATCGAAATTGATAAAGAAAATCAGAGTTCATTTCATTACTTCCGAGAAAAAAGTATCTCTTTTGCCCCAAAATTTGAACCATCGAAACAACAGTATGTCTACCGCGTTCAAATAAAGCAAATATACGGACCTGACATATCTTGGCAATTCCGGGTTATTTGTATCCATGTAGTATAATTCCATACCTCTGGCATTCACTTTCTCGCACATTGTCTGCAATAATGACCATCCAATACAATTATAAATAAAGATTTGTCAGCGAGAGACATTATCATCATTCTGTATGTAACAGGGAGGTAATTCTAATTCATTTGAACGTCTTATATTCAAATATTGGCATCTTGAAACAAATGAAAAACAACGTGTCAGCGGAATTTAATTCAAACTAAACCTTAATAAAACCAAAAGCAAGATATGGACAGTAATGTTTATACGAATACCCCTGAAAAAGTACAACGATAATAAGGCAATATGTGAAGAGTAGGCGTGTCTTACTTCATCGACGACATCCGCCATATAAATCTTGGCCAATTATGTCAGTTATGAAAAAAAAAAAAAAAAAATGAAAGAAAACGAATAAGTGATAGACTTGCCATCTTAAAAGGTATCATGAATTTGAAGAAACTATAGGTTAGGAAGAGGGTCTAGTACCTAAAAACCCGAATAAGTGTTGGACAAGAATTCTTAAGAAGATTTATGAATTTGATGGAACTATAGTTAGGAGAAGGGAGTTTAGTACCTTTCAAATAACAATCAGGGGTTTCATGAGCATCATATTATCAAAGATTGACCTTGGATTCCTGATAAACGTCTGGGATCAGAACAGAATTATCATTAAGTATCAGTTCACAATGAAATTAGGACAAAGCGTAGTTCTCTCCTAATATGATACGAAGTAAGGCGATCTTTGATAATTGTTGATATGCCTGATGACTTCGAATCATGACATTACTTCATTGCACTGACCAAGAATAACATGGCGGGTGTCATCGATTTAACAGCTGTAATTTTTTCCTTAGCAATTTGAAAAAATATATCTCCTTGTAAATCTGTCTTTTGCTCATATCTTGCCCTCGTTTTATCATTATGGAGTTTCAATACAAAAACGCTGACATGTTAATATTTCGTGTTAATAGATAGATATTAATTAATAAATAAAGATTATTAAAAACAAAAGGAATTAATAAGCAAATGCTTTAACTCATTCGTTTTTGAAATAATACAGACATGTTTCAATAAAAGTAGTAATGGTATTGAATCGGTTGAAATATGAACCATCATATATTCAAATATCGTGACACATAAGATAAGTGTTTATCAAAAACAAACGAATTCGAATATTTTACCTGTGTATATGTTACAAAAAAGAGTTGATGATCAGTAAGATTAAGACCAGGTAATACCATTCGGTCATAGCCTCGGTCAAAAGATCGTCTGTAGGCCTGTAATTTTATAAACAGTCAGGTTAATTGTTTTCCGGCTTTCGCCGTCTTTTACATAACAATGTACTCATTCAACACACAGTATGGAAACGTTATAGCTGTCATAAAGAGCCCGTGCAATCAAATCATTATACATTGTAACTGCAGCCAGCAATTACTCTCAAATCAATAGATCAAGAAACCAACCACATCCCCATAAACAACTTTCGTAATGAAACGTTTTCTCATTTTATAAGAATCTGATACTCATGGAATTGTAAATAATACAAATTCTATCAAAAACACTACATGACATAACTTTTACTTTGTTCAGGTTGTAGTTTATGGGAACTAAACATAAAGACTTGTTGATGATTCGTATTAACCTTATATTATTGTATACCCTTTATCAGCCAGACATTGTCAGGACTCCATTTCTTACTAAATAAGTATAGCCGTGTACTTGCGAATACTATGCTTTAACGTATCTTATATCTGTGACATTATAATCGAAACCAGGACATGCGTTGTCATTCTAATTTGTGATCATTTTATAGTTTATGTGCTGTTTTTTAAATTTATATTATTTCCTTGTGACAAAAGCTAAAAATATTGAGGCTGCATGATCAAAATAATTCATATAAAAGTTTAATAAAACTGTAATGTGATTCGTCTCTTTTGATTCTAAATATATTTCATGCATGTCACGTCAGCAGAGCTGTATCAGTGATAGACAAAGTAACTGTAAATTAAAAAATCCATGGAAAGTGAAAGTTTCGTAATTTTGACAATTTGTTGCTTTGGGAATGATGGTGAAATCGATGCAATATATGGTATCATCTTGCTCCTAATGAACTCTGCTTTCTCATTCTGATTACTAGAACACTCAGCAGCACGTATACCCCCAGACAGACGGACGACATAATTGTCCGAAAGTCTATAAATACTCTATACAGTGTAATCAAAATTTGCATGAAAGCCGTATCTGCTCTCACGCAACATCAAATGGGGCAGCAGCCATCTTTCCACAGATAACTCTTCCAGAATACGAGAAAATATTAATGTGCCTGGCAACATTATCAATAGCAGCCAATTTAACCTATTGTTATTGTATATTAATATACGTGTCTGACAAAGGTTTTCAGTTGAATTGAATAAAATATGATGAACATTACAGATTCTTTGCCCTTTAAGACAAACCCTTGTTACAAATCACCTGTCAATAACGAATACCTGTCCATAATATCTATTTATAATGATCACCTGTCCATTCCAAAAATATATCTACAAACACCGTATATCACCACCTCCTATCCACATAACAACGACCCGTTAGCAGCTTCATCCTGAGCTATAACATCCTTTATATACTAATCTGTTGTTCATAGTAACCACATATCGCTTTATAAAACTTCATCTCATAATTATCAAGTTTAAAAAATAATTAATAATCTATCTTAACTTAAGGTCTTACTGTCATCATCCATTTTCAAAGACCTAATGAGAACCAAATATCAAACCTTGCATTTTGTTAAAAAAATATAATCATGTTTGGTCGCAAGACTTTTTTTCACGGTTGTTGAAACAGGAATATCAGTTCATCAACAGGAATGGAATAGAAAACAATTCAACAGTCTCTGTAGTGAGATATCTTAGTTTTTGGCTCTGACTCCAAACACGACATGTTAACTTACCCGAAATGCTACGTGCAGCGCCAGAGTATCACGGAAATTCTGTCCCTTTGTCAGGTCTCCTCGAACCTTGAAAGGATGTTAAAAATACATACATTTAAGGATTGAATATTGCTTATGTCTACTTCGTGAAGTGATGAATTGAGTTGGTTTTGAGACAAATCTGATTAACTGGGAAGACAATCATCACAGAAGGATTATGTCTAGATGCAGTGAGCAGGTTAAAAAAGGAAACACGTTGGCGGCCATTTTGGTTTAGTGAAAAAGTGTGTTGTGTCGACCTTTCTCAGTATGTATCAATGGCATCAAGAACTTGGTCAAGAATAAGTTCTGTATCAGAAGCGCTTAACCAAATGGGGATGAATAAAGAGTCGAAGTAGGGACGGACAGGAAAAACAAACAATACAACAGCCTACAAGAGAAGGACTTTCGGTTTTACGACTGTGTTGATTAACATCTGTAGCTAAGTTAGAAATACATAGAGTTAACCAGAAAACTGACCCTAAGTACTGATTAGATAACCTGACATAGGACGCAAAGGGTGTTTGCTAAGACCTGTAGAAGACTTGAGATTAGTTACCTTAAACATGTGTTAATTCATTTCTTATCAATAGAATACCAATGCTAATTACAGCAGTGATAACTGACCATTCCCAGTTGTTAACATTACCTGGTGTCTGGAGCCTTGGGTGTCTATCAGAGAATATCTGTCAAACGTATCTATCAAACACTGAAGATGATGAGCCATGGTAAATAGCACCCGTCGGTCGATCAAGCCAGTCATGAAGTGCAACAGTAGGGCTGTAAACAACCATGAAGGTATTTAATGTCAAGTGATTGATTGTAAAAAAGTCTTTGTTTTTTATAATAAATGCACGTAACTTGTGTCAGTACATTGTTCAAGCCAACGTATTTGGTCCTCTGGATTCATCTGAAGTTAATTGTAAATTTACATCCACAATACATTTATTATTCACAAGAATATGATAAAGAACAAGGAAGATAATGAAGAAAGATACACAAAGTAAAATCCATTAATGAAGCAATTTTGTCCGTCTTTACGATTTTGTTAGAATGAAAAGAAATTGTTCTGAAATGCTTTACGTGTCACCGACAGTAATCGGTTAACATATTGATTAAAGACTGAACGCTTTTAAATGTCATTGCAACACTTGGAGTAAATCATTAAAAACTTCGAATCGTAAAACAATATGTAAATAAACGATATTTTGCGAGCAAATAAATTTGCTTCATAAATTCAAAAAGTATTCATCTACAAACACATCGTATCAACTTTCGAATTGATTCAGGATTGCGGGAATTTGCTTTAAAATGTTTTCCCGAAGGCCATTTCTTCTCTCCTGAACGAATCTATCCTTTAAAAAAGTGTTACCGAACTACATGACCGATATGTGATACCGAGTGCGTTTTCAGCTCCATGAATCAGTTGCCAAAGACATCTTTATTGGAACATCTTGTTCAAGAAGAAAAAAAAATCAGAAACCACTGTAGTAAATCACCATTGTAAATGGTATTCTCTCGCGTAAATTCACTGTTGTTTGTTGTATTTAACCCCAGCACTCCAGCATATTATTATGTATCTTATCAGGCGTGACAGTTGTGGAAGATTTTGTTATCAATATCAGTGCAAACTCGCTTGAAGGAATTCAAATAATCAAGCATCATGGACGAATTAATGGTACATCATATAAACTACATCTTTTAAGTATTATTGATATATTTATAAGTTACTTTCCGTAAATCTTTACAATAAAGTTTTAACCCGAGCAGTGTGTTCATTTAAATAGTTATATTTAAAAAAATTCAAATGGTACACATTGTTTATAAATAGTTTCTTCGTAGTGACAAATCACTAGTACGAAGACACCTTCCGAATTAAGGTACCGTACACCCTTAAGTTGTTCAGGGTCATATCTCCTTGAGTCTACATATCATAAACGATTAAGGAACATATATCCTTGAGTCTACATATCATAAACGATTAAGGAACAAATATCCGAGAGTCTACATATCATAACCGATTAAGGAACATATATATGGGAGTCTGCATATCATAAACGATTAAGGAGCGTATATCCGAGAGTCTACATATCATAAACGATTAAGGAGCGTATATCCGAGAGTCTACATATCATAAACGATTAAGGAGCGTATATCCGAGAGTCTACATATCATAAACGATTAAGGAGCGTATATCCGGGAGTCTACATATTATAAACGATTAAGGAGCGTATATCCGTGAGTCTACATATCATAAACAGTTAAGGAGCGTATATCCGAGAGTCTACATATCATAAACGATTAAGGAACATATATCCGAGAGTCTACATATCATAAACGGTTAAGGAGCGTATATCCGAGAGTCTACATATCATAAACGATTAAGGAGCATTTGTCCGTGAGTCTACATATCATAAACGGTTAAGGAGCGTATATCCGAGAGTCTACATATCATAAACGATTAAGGAGCGTATATCCGTGAGTCTACATATCATAAACAGTTATGGAGCGTATATCCGAGAGTCTACATATCATAAACGATTAAGGAACATATATCCGAGAGTCTACATATCATAAACGGTTAAGGAGCGTATATCCGAGAGTCTACATATCATAAACGATTAAGGAGCATTTGTCCGTGAGTCTACATATCATAAACGGTTAAGGAGCGTATATCCGAGAGTCTACATATCATAAACGATTAAGGAGCATTTGTCCGTGAGTCTACATATCATAAACGGTTACGGAGCGTATATCCGAGAGTCTACATATCATAAACGATTAAGGAGCGTATATCCGAGAGTCTACATATCATAAACGATTAAGGAGCGTATATCCGAGAGTCTACATATCATAAACGATTAAGGAACATACATCCGAGAGTCTACATATCATAAACGATTAAGGAGCATTTGTCCGTGAGTCTACATATCATAAACGGTTAAGGAGCGTATATCCGAGAGTCTGCATATCATAAACGATTAAGGAGCGTATATCCGAGAGTCTACATATCATAAACGATTAAGGAACATATATCCGTGAGTCTACATATCATAAACGTTTAAGGAACATATATCCGTGAGTCTACATATCATAAACGATTAAGGAACATATATCCGTGAGTCTACATATCATAAACAGTTAAGGAGCGTATATCCGAGAGTCTACATATCATAAACGATTAAGGAGCGTATATCCGAGAGTCTACATATCATAAACGATTAAGGAACATATATCCGTGAGTCTACATATCATAAACAGTTAAGGAGCGTATATCCGAGAGTCTACATATCATAAACGATTAAGGAGCGTATATCCGAGAGTCTACATATCATAAACGATTAAGGAACATATATCCGTGAGTCTACATATCATAAACAGTTAAGCAGCGTATATCCGAGAGTCTACATATCATAAACGATTAAGGAGCATTTGTCCGTGAGTCTACATATCATAAACGGTTAAGGGGCATATATCCGAGAGTCAGTTAAGGAGCATGTACACGTCAGTCTACATATCAAAATGTTAAGAAGCATAATTTACTAATACGAAAATTGCTAATAAGAAACGGTTCAGGTAGATATTTAATCAAGTCTACATTATATTTGTTGTTGTTAAGCACAAATCCGTCAGTTTTCGTTATAGAAACAATAAGTATCCAGCCCTATGATGCAACCATATCAGCAAAAACGGCCAGATTTTAGCTTCTTGAGAAACAGCAACGTTCATGTGAAGTTACGTAGGACAATACTCTACTGCCTCTGCCCCCTCCCCTCTGCCCATGATACGGTTAGGTAGGTAAGATAGACTCTTCAGTCTCCAAGTCACAAATTTGGAAACTTTCCCAGCTGTTATTTTTTTTAACTATTTCATAAAAATGTGAATCAGATGACTGCTTACTTACCGTCGATGTCGAATGCCTGGACTAAAGTCTGGGCGATCAGGACCCCGGTGGAGCCATACGTCACCGGAACTGTTGCTGGGCTGTAAAACAATGGCCCCTGGATTGCAGACGCCGATAGCTCTGCAAAAATCAACCAGAACTCTACTTAACAAGGGCGACATCTTGAACATATGACTTTTGTAAGATCACTGTTTTTATAACGAAAGTAACGAACCACAGACATAACATAGATAAGTTTTCAATGATGTAAGTCTATAGTTTAACTCCTGATACTTTTAAACAAGAAATATATATTTTACGTTTCAGAAGACAAAGAATTGATAGACACAAATTGCTACGACGATGCAACAATTATTCATACAAACTGTTTGCTCACTATATTCATCTTAAAACATTTTAAAATTAGTAATAATAAGTAAATTAGATAGTAAATCATGATAGTTGATATAATAATGATATTATACAACATCGATGACAGGGTTATAGGTCTGTATTACTTACCAACCGATTGGTACTTTTTCACGAACTTGCCTATTGTCAGTCTCCATGTCGGGTAGATTTTCATTCCCGTTATGTATAGTTTGTGTTTCATTCTAGTTATCTCTAACATATTGTCCACGTAATCACCATTAAGTTTTGAAATATCAAGCATTCCTCTCTCTATCAACATTTTCCACTTTGTCCATTCAAAATGGAGTGTAATATTGTCCATATGCGCAGCCACTGCTTCTCTCTGGTTTCTTGGTATCCAGTAAAGCCCATCCATAACTTCAATTAAGGTCTGTTTTAAGTTCGCAAACAACATTTGAGATTCTTTTTCAAACACATCCAACTTTGGAACGGTGACAATTGCTGATAAAGGTAAAACTGTAGACAGATAAGCTATACATCTAGCCTCGTCGTTGGAATGTTGTGGAATATTATAAATACTTGTAGAAAAATTAAAAGGTTTGGTTCTGTCTGCATAAATATTGTAAACATCCGTATGTAGAATCGTATGTACCCACACATAGTGGATGAGGGTTAGAGGGTCAGTTCGGCTAATCACACTTTGTACGGAAGGTGATAGGTTCACAGAACAAATCTCTGTTTTTCCAGTTACATTATGACCCTCTCCTAGCAACAAACTGAAAAACAACTCCCAAGATATTCCATATCTGGGAAATTTCGTTTGAAGTCTTGATATGTTCATTCTTGAATCACAGTTTTCTATAGTTCTGAAAACATTTTTATTTTCTTCTTTGTACCATTTCTGAAAACAGAAACAAATAAAGTTAGGAAAGTTAAACAGTATGAAATAATTTTACGAAAACCTCATGTTAAGATATACTATTTTTTTCTACGCCAAAACTCTCTTCGGGAGCTATAAGTTGGCTGTCAGCGAAATTTCAAAAGGAACTAACTTTCTTAGAGATTCACAAAACAGACGAAAGGACGTTAAGGTGCTTGTACGTGAAAGGGAAACTATGCTGATCTTTAGTTCTGTCTGCATTTCCTGGTTAGTATGGATACCTCAATGGATAGAAAACATGCAGCTATGAGTACCAAAATTAATTGTCTGATTTACCTGTATACATGGTTTTGATTTTTATTGAAGTGTATTCCGTGAAAAATATCAAATCAAAGAAATATATGCAGGATGAAAACATAAAAAGTGATCGAGTTTCAGGTTGAGTGTAGTGGTACGAACTTCCAACAGACTATTGACATGCCTTCGGGAATTAACTGTACCGCTCTGTTGGCTGACTTGTTTTTGCTTTCATAAGAGGCGGAATTTATTGAAGGGCTTATTAAAACAGGTCATAAAGACCTTCCAAAGTCGTTTAACTTCACCGTCAGATATATTGATGACGTCTTGTCTTTAAATAACAAAATGTTTATTAACCACGTCCATCGTATATACCAAACAGAATTGGCAATCAAAGACACGACAGACTCTTCAACATCAGGAGTCTCCCTGTAGATCTGTATTTTGTTCAAATCTTCTAATATATAAGAATACCGAAAACATGAAACTGAAAAACCGTCTTCGAGGGGAAAAAAGGATAGCTAAAATAACTAAAATTCTATCATTCATGATCATTGGAAAATACATACTGTTATGATGGATTTTTGCTATAGCAATACAGTTTCCAGCCCACACACAGGTGAATGTATGGCCAGTTTCGAAACGCAATAAAACTCAATAGCTCATTTAATTTGTAAAATTTAGTCTACAAAGACGTTTTAGTTTTCTATTAAAACTCGCAGATAACTCCATGCAAAATCCTATTTACATTATTTCTGACTGTCTTAATCATTGAACTTTAACGTGATGTTTTCGTTAGTGCGATGTTACTCTTTGAACGTTTCTGAAATTCTCACTTCGTTGTCAGTAGGTTCAATATTTGTCGCCAACTTAACGTTTTCATGATCCCTGCGCTTATATTTTTATTATTTGTTGTATTTGTCCTTTATTTACATGCAGATTGTCATCGACGAATTAAAAGACCTTTACGTTTCGAGACCACGTGGTCTCATTGTTCTTGTACTTTCCCATTAATCAATAGGTAAATTACCATATTGTGGTAAGAGTTATGGCTTTGCTAGACCGTTGCCATTGTTGGTGTATCACTAAGTCAGATACCTGATACCTGTACTACATACCATATCATTCACCAAATGGTCGGATCTCTTACCTTGTTAAGTGCAATTTCTAATTCAAAAATCGAATCTAAATTGTTGATTAGACCTCTGATGAAATCGTCGCCTTCGGGAGCATGAAGAACGGTCATCGCCACTGTCTTCAGAAACAACTTATAGGATAGCATTGTCTGTAATGAAAGCAGACGAGAAGATTGTCAGGAAATGACGTGATATATGTACATTCTCCCCGACCGACGCGACAAATAAATCAAATGTAGTGATGCATTGTGTGATTACCACAGATTCAATACGAAATTGTTACATTACAGTTTACAGGAATATATATTCTTTATATAGATTTGTGCATTATTCAATGTTTACACAGATAGCATAAAAAATAAAGCTTTATATAAAATAATACATAATATCGCGAATTATGCCGTTACAAAGATAACACGATGACATCACAAATTCATAAATTGAAATTTCTTGTTTAAAAGGGGTTAATACGCATTTAAGCGTGTTTATTTGATCAACTAAACATATGTTCCATCGCATTTTCGTCTTTGCATTTATCTTAATACTTAAGCCTGAAACACCTATACAGCTTATAATTTTATGTTAATATGAAGACATGCGTGTATTATGTCTATGAACTTTTAATATATTGTCAAAGAACATTATAAAATCCCTCTTATCGAATACTTCCCTATGCCCAATAAGGTTCACCATACTGAAACATTCTACTGTCAATTTACTACTGATTCATTATAGAGGGCGTTGGACGACTGACAATGACGTTATTCCATTATAACCAATGCGTTAATCTAATAAACATGAAAGTATATTGCATGATGATTCTTCATCTGATTTGTCAAATGACTTTACAACTGTAAGAATAACATCAATAATGGTCAAACTAGAAATAACGGTTTATATTGTATACCAATTTTATGTTCCTTAAAAAGTCGGCGTATTGGCAGAGGAAATATATGGTAGTGATTTGTGCCCGTTTCCAATAATCAAAATGAGTTACTTACTTGATCAGAAGTGTAACTACGATAGTATAGATCGCTGGGCATCAGGTGACGAAAATTGGAAACAATTTCACCGTCACCGAATAACTCTCTGACGACATCATCTGAATAATTGTTGATGATCTGTGTAAAATGATAAGAGTTCGAGACTTTTGCATAAAATGATAAATGAAAATATGATTTGTCAAGAAGAATGAATTAGATATACTGTACTTCGCCACATAGGATTTGCAATTGTTTCTTTCCTTTTTATGTATTTGTTTTCTTTTGTAAAGCAGAAAACAGATAAAATGAACTTATTTATATTTTGTTATCAATTGTTTCAGAAATTATATTCTTATTGTTTTACAGTTGATTGTGAACCAGGCAATGTACATTAACTATTTCAGAATCCATGCTATTCCCCGAAAAATACAGAAGCGATGGGCCCCGCGGACGGATAATACCGATTGGAATCAAGACAAATACATACTGTTCTTATCAGATCACAAAAGGAAATTGTCTCATCAAGGGCTTTGAGATCCAATAGCCGCTATTCCTCTTACTTACAGATATCTTCTGATTTCTGTTCACCATGACCTTGAAAAATGGGGAAGCACCGAAATTTCTTGTCACCATAGCTACAAGTTTCGTCAACCTGATTTCATTACCCTCTAGCAAGGAAACGTTCTGCACTGAGACCAGATCTTGAACTTTAATGGAAAGGTTGATGTTGCAATGTAAAAATATGGTGATGAAAGCAAATCGAATCGTCTCCAGCATCATTGGTTATTCATGCACAGAAGATTCAATTTCACTTAAGCTTTCGAGTAGTTAAAGATGAACGTTCGTGAAATTGTATTTGTGTACAGCAATGACTTCTGTGAATGCCAAAATAAAACCATCTTTCCGTGACATAACGATACAATAAATCTCTGTAGCATACTGATATCCTCACAATAAATGTGCGTTTCTATTCTTCAAGAGAGGTAGAACCAATCCATTGAATGTCTGCCATTGTATATTGCGAAAATACATATCATTTTTATAGCTAGGTGTATTAGTATGACAAATTATATAGTTACTACCGAGAACGTCAAAATGAATAAGAATATACTTCTGGAAACCACAACACACAATATCAAACATCCTGTATTCCCCGAAATTGATTAGCACAAACAGGTTAACTCACAGACAAAAATACATATAAGTGCCAGCATGAATAAATCGCTGTAAATCTGTTTTTTGCACGAACAAAAGTACTTACTTGCAGACCTGATAGTACCAAGGGGGCTGTTCCTCCTCTCAAGACATGCGCGATAGATGGTCTTCAGTTTGTTCTCGTGCCGCGATACTAACGGATCAGAAGGTGCTGACAATCGATCTACAATGAAATATATGTGAATTTGAAAATCCCAAAAATCGTTCAAAATACAAAATTTCAGAGAACAGAGAAAATCAAAAGGAAGACGTTGCTTTATAACCTACATGTCAGCAAAGTCTTAATTCAAACATAAGTCGATGGGACAAGGGCAAATTTAGAGGACAACAGTGAGAAAGTACAACGGGAATAAGACCAAGAGATCCCTACCATGTAAATTTTGTATATCCAATTATGTCATGTTCCCTAAATGATTTATCAAAAAGATACATACAAGATGTACCAATTTAGAATCATAGTATTTAAACCAAACTCAAATATTAAAATGCATCGGATGTTTACCAAACTCTTTACAATCAGCATTCATTACTTATCACACACACATAAAAAAACCACATCCTTCAATCAAAGACACCGACGGTGTCGACGGCGCCCAATACTTAACATAAAGATGCCCTTTCCTAAGGTCATTGCCGTTCTTTATCGAACACATTTGAAATAGAACAATTTATAAAACCGACTTAACCTGCTTTACAGTATCATTGTCCAAAACCAATATCGTTTTACATGTATATAACTTTGACAATCCATTGCTGATGCATAATTAAAACAACAAAGAAATTGAAAATCTGAAATAGTAAAAATGCTTATCTTTATACATTTTATTTGTTTCCAACTAGAAATACGAATAAATAGTAACTGTGAAAGACGTTTACAAATAAAATTGCACTCTAACTTGAATTAATATGACTTTTATCTAGTTAAAACTGTATGCAGAGATTATACAATGTGTTACCAAAGACCAATAAAGATAATGTACTTTGACCAAGACACGTGTATATCCAAATCCGAATGTGTTTCAACTAGATTTAAAACAATTCTCGATTAAGATTTACATAATTCTTTTATTCTTTTTTCTGTGTTTTACTGGTTTTGATTGCTGCCTCGAAATAGACTGCTCTCTGAGTGCATTTTTCTCTTGATTAAATGACACCAAGAACTTGTAAGCTATTACCACACCACAATAAAGTGTCCACATCTATAAACAGGGATTAAGTGACTCGCTGATGCCTAATTTAATTATATAGTTCTACTGGCCTCCGTGAAAGGCCGAAAACGGTGGACAAGACAAGAACGGTTTTCCCATTGCAGTTGACGTAAAACAACCTCCTATATCGTACCAATACAAATAAATCGAAACCTTTTAATAGCATAGAATGTAGCCATAATTGTGTGCTTCCTACTCGATTTTCAACATTTAGTGGTAGTCTATACGCGAGGGCTACTGGCAGAGGGATGTCTGGTATTGAGATGGATAGGGAGCACGTACGCCAATCCATCAGCCTTGTAGTGATGTTATTGCTGCACGACTCACAAGCTTGGCTACTTATTTGTTAATGCCAGTACCAACCACCTCTCGCCAGTAACGAGATGACCGTGAATGAAGACAGATCATGGTCTTACAATTATTTGCAACATACGGAAAAACTCAACTAGCTAAGCTGGGTATCCATGCGTTCTTCGTTAGGTACGCTTCTAGTGAAATCTTTCCGTCAAAAAAAGCAGAAAACAATCGGTTTATATTTATGGGATATTGATCTGTGTTGCATCATTAGAGCTCATGGTGTGGCTACATACATCAAGAATCTGTCTTTTGTCTTAAATCTAAAAGCAAGTTCATTGCATCAAAACATCTAAATGACGTTTCCTAACGGCAAACATTTCATTCCTTCCTAAAAAAGTAAACGTAGTTCTGTTGAAAACTTGTCACTACATAAGATTTGAAATCTTCATTCCTGTTTGGACTGCTATCGTCCTACCCATCATGACTTTAAAGATGCCAACAACAGTAAGACTGTTAATGAAACGTTAAATTCAATTTCTGCCAATGAGCTGATATCAGTGTTTTATACTGGGTTAGTTTATATACTACATTCGATACTAAATTTTGTACAATTACTTTTTTGTCTGTAAACAGGCTGTTAAATATATATATTCTACATTTAGAAAAGTAATGAATTCGATGTCCTATATAAATTAGCTGTAATGTTTATACAGAACCATAATGCCTACTGTTGTCGGAGAAATCGTCACACAAGGCAAAATGTTGCAATGAATATTGAGCCTCTTTTATCGTTTTACATTCTTGTATGTTCAATAAGGCATAGCCGTCTCAACTTCCCGTGTAGAATTAGACTCTATTCTCCCATCTATAATCGTTATATATCGCCTCCCTAAATATATCGGGTTATATCGCCACTACTCCCTGTATAAAAGAGTACACTACTCCCTAGATATATAGCTGCTACTCCCTAAATATATAGCCACTTCTCCCTGAATATATCGGGTTATATCGCCACTACCCCCTGTATAAAAGCGGTCACTACTCCCTAAATATATCGGATTATATCGCCACTACTCCCTGTATAGAGCGAACACTACTCCCTAAATATATCGGGTTATATCACCACTACTCCCTGTATAGAGCGAACACTACTCCCTAAATATATCGGGTTATATCGCCACTACCCCCTGTATAAAAACGGTCACTACTCCCTAAATATATCGGATTATATCGCCACTACTCCCTGTATAAAAGCGGACACTCTCCCTAAATATATCGGGTGATATCACCGCTACTCCCTGTATAGAGCGGACACTTCTCCCTAAATACATCGGGTTATATCACCACTACTCCCTGTACAGGGCGGACACTGCTCCCTATATATGTCGGGTTATATCGCCGCTACTCCCTGTATAAAAGCGGCCACTACTCCCTAAATATATCGGGTTATATCACCACTACTCCCTGTATAGAGCGGACACTACTCCCTAAATATATCGGGTTATATCGCCGTTACTCCCTGTAGAAAAGCGGACACAACTAACTAAATATATCGGGTTATATCGCCACTACTTCCTGTATAAAAGCGGACACTACTCCCTGAAAATATCGGGTTATATCACCACTACTCCCTGTACAGGGCGGACACTGCTCCCTATATATGTCGGGTTATATCGCAGCTACTTCCTGTATAAAAGCGGACAGTATTCCCTAAATATATCGGGTTATATCACCACTACTCCCTGTACAGGGCGGACACTGCTCCCTATATATGTCGGGTTATATCGCAGCTACTTCCTGTATAGAGCGGACACTACTCCTAAATTTATCTGGTTATATCGCCGCTACTCCCTGTATAAAAGCGGTCACTACTCCCTAAATATATCGGGTTATATCACCACTACTCCCTGTATAAAAGCGGACACTGCTCCCTAAATATATCGGGTTATATCGCCGCTACTCCCTTTATAAAAGCGGACACTACTCCCTAAATATATCGGGTTATATCACCACTACTCCCTGTACAGGGCGGACACTGCTCCCTATATATGTCGGGTTATATCGCAGCTACTTCCTGTATAGAGCGGACACTACTCCTAAATATATCGGGTTATATCGCCGCTACTCCCTGTATAGAGCGGACACTACTCCTAAATATATCGGGTTATATCACCACTACTCCCTGTATAGAGCGGACACTACTCCTAAATATATCGGGTTATATCGCCGCTACTCCCTGTATAGAGCGGACACTACTCTCTATATATGTCGGGTTATATCGCCTCTACTTCCCGTGTGTAATCGGTCTATACTGCATAAGCTCTCTGTATATATTCGGGTTACATCTTCTCTATTCTCTGTGTATATACGGATTATTTTACCTCTATTCTCTGTGTATATACGGATTATTTTACCTCTACTCTCTGTGTATATACAGATTGATTTACCTCTACTCTCTGTGTATATACGGATTATTTTACCTCTACTCTCTGTGTATATACAGATTATTTTACCTCTACTCTCTGTGTATATACGGATTATTTTACCTCTATTCTCTGTGTATATACGGATTATTTTACCTCTATTCTCTGTGTATATACAGATTATTTTACCTCTACTCTCTGTGTATATACGGATTATTTTACCCCTACTCTCTGTGTATATACGGATTATTTTACCTCTATTCTCTGTGTATATACAGATTATTTTACCTCTACTCTCTGTGTATATACGGATTATTTTACCTCTACTCTCTGTGTATATACAGATTATTTTACCTCTATTCTCTGTGTATATACAGATTATTTTACCTCTATTCTCTGTGTATATACGGATTATTTTACCCCTACTCTCTGTGTATATACGGATTATTTTACCTCTACTCTCTGTGTATATACGGATTATTTTACCTCTACTCTCTGTGTATATACGGATTATTTTACCTCTACTCTCTGTGTATATACAGATTATTTTACCTCTAATCTCTGTGTATATAGAGATTGATTTACCTCAACTCTCTGTGTATATACGGATTATTTTACCTCTATTCTCTGTGTATATACGGATTATTTTACCTCTATTCTCTGTGTATATACAGATTATTTTACCTCTAATCTCTGTGTATATACGGATTATTTTACCTCTAATCTCTGTGTATATACGGATTATTTTACCTCTATTCTCTGTGTATATATGGATTATTTTACCTCTATTTTCTGTGTTTATACGGATTATTTTACCTCTACTCTCTGTGTATATACGGATTATTTTACCTCAACTCTCTGTGTATATATATACACTCTCTGTGTATATACAGATTGTTTTACCCCTTCTCTCTGTGTATATACAGATTATTTTACCCCTACTCTCTGTGTATATACGGATTATTTTACCTCTATTCTCTGTGTATATACAGATTATTTTACCTCTACTCTCTGTGTATATACAGATTATTTTACCTCTACTCTCTGTGTATATACACTCTCTGTGTATATACGGATTATTTTTCTACTCTTGTATATGTATATACTCTCTGTGTATATAGATCTATTTTACCTCTGTGTATATCTACTCTCTGTGTATATACGGATTATTTTACCTCTACTCTCTGTGTATATACGGATTATTTTACCTCTACTCTCTGTGTATATCTCTGTGTATATATATACAGATATGATCTCTGTGTATATTACCTCTACTCTCTGTGTATATACAGATTATTTTACCTCTATCTCTGTGTATATACGGATTATTTTACTCTCTGTGTATATACGGATTATTTTAATCTCTGTGTATATACGGATTATTTTACCTCTACTCTCTGTGTATATACGGATTATTTTACCTCTACTCTCTGTGTATATACAGATTTTTATACTCTTACCCTACTCTCTGTGTATATGTGTATATATATACTACTCTCTGTGTATATACGGATTATTTTACCTCTACTCTCTGTGTATATACAGATTATTTTACCTCTACTCTCTGTGTATATACAGATTATTTTACCTCTACTCTCTGTGTATATATATACCTCTACTCTCTGTGTATATACAGATTTTTACCTCTACTCTCTGTGTATATACGGATTATTTTACTACTCTCTGTGTATATACAGATTATTTTACCTCTACTCTCTGTGTATATACAGATTATTTTACCTCTACTCTCTGTGTATATACGGATTATTTTACCTCTACTCTCTGTGTATATACGGATTATTTTACCTCTACTCTCTGTGTATATACGGATTATTTTATTATTATATACCTCTACTCTCTGTGTATATACGGATTATTTTACTCTCTGTATATACTCTCTGTGTATATACTGTGATTATTTTACCTCTTCTCTCTGTGTATATACTCTCTGTGTATATACGGATTATTTTACCTCTACTCTCTGTGTATATACGGATTATTTTACCCCTTCTCTCTGGATTATTTTCTGTGTATATACCTCTACTCTCTGTGTATATACGGATTATTTTTCTACTCTCTTTTACCTCTACTCTCTGTGTATATACGGATTATTTTACCTCTACTCTCTGTGTATATACGGATTATTTTACCTCTACTCTCTGTGTATATACGGATTATTTTACCCCTACTCTCTGTGTATATACGGATTATTTTACCTCTACTCTCTGTGTATATACGGATTATTTTACCCCTTCTCTCTGTGTATATACAGATTATTTTACCTCTACTCTCTGTGTATATACAGATTGATTTACCTCTACTCTCTGTGTATATACAGATTATTTTACCTCTACTCTCTGTGTATATACAGATTATTTTACCTCTACTCTCTGTATATGTATATACTCTCTGTGTATATATTTATTTTACCTCTACTCTCTGTGTATATACGGATTATTTTACCTCTACTCTCTGTGTATATACAGATTATTTTACCTCTACTCTCTGTGTATATACAGATTGATTTACCTCTACTCTCTGTGTATATACAGATTATTTTACCTCTACTCTCTGTGTATATACAGATTATTTTACCTCTACTCTCTGTGTATATACAGATTATTTTACCTCTACTCTCTGTGTATATACAGATTGATTTACCTCTACTCTCTGTGTATATACAGATTATTTTACCCCTACTCTCTGTGTATATACAGATTATTTTACCTCTACTCTCTGTGTATATACGGATTATTTTACCTCTACTCTCTGTGTATATACGGATTATTTTACCTCTACTCTCTGTGTATATACAGATTATTTTACCTCTACTCTCTGTGTATATACAGATATACAGATTATTTTACCTCTACTCTCTGTGTATATACAGATTATTTTACCTCTACTCTCTGTGTATATACAGATTATTTTACCTCTACTCTCTGTGTATATACAGATTGATTTACCTCTACTCTCTGTGTATATACGGATTATTTTACCCCTACTCTCTGTGTATATACAGATTATTTTACCTCTACTCTCTGTGTATATACAGATATTTTACCTCTACTCTCTGTGTATATACAGATTATTTTACCTCTACTCTCTGTGTATATACAGATTATTTTACCTCTACTCTCTGTGTATATGATTATTTATACCTCTACTCTCTGTGTATATACAGATTATTTTACCTCTACTCTCTGTGTATATACAGATTATTTTACCTCTACTCTCTGTGTATATACACTCTCTGTGTATATGATTTTACCTCTACTCTCTGTGTATATACAGATTATTTTACCTCTACTCTCTGTGTATATACAGATTATTTTACCTCTACTCTCTGTGTATATACGGATTATTTTACCTCTATTCTCTGTGTATATACAGATTGATTTACCTCTACTCTCTGTGTATATACGGATTATTTTACCTCTATTCTCTGTGTATATACAGATATTGTGTATATTTTCAGACAACATCGTCTCTATAATCTCGGTATAATCCGACTTGTCCCCGTATATAATTTTACTATTTAGCCTCTGCAATATGTATATAATTGATTTTTTATGGGATTCTACTTTTTGTTTATAACCGGGCTATATCGACTTTACTTTTTATATATAACCGGACTTTATCGACTCTAATTTTTATATATAACCGGACTTTATCGACTCTAATTTTTATATATAACCGGACTTTATCGACTTTACTTTTTATATATAACCGGACTTTATCGACTTTACTTTTTATATCTAACCGGACTTTATCGACTTTACTTTTTATATATAACCGGTCTTTATCGACTTTACTTTTTATATATAACCGGCCTTTATCGACTTTACTTTTTATATATAACCGGACTTTATCGACTTTACTTTTTATATATAACCGGTCTTTATCGACTTTACTTTTTATATATAACGTATCATCGGACTATATCGCCGTTATTTCTATATCATGATGTTTACACTGATTATATTAGATTACATGATGGATTCTCCTGGTAAAAAATGGATGTTTCTAGTCGACAGATCCTGAGGCAAGATCATACCTCTCTGGGTAGGTATTAACACAATGGCACTACGTCCATTTGGTTATTACATAAAGTCAGAACTAGACCAGGTCGCTTGAATTTTCCCTTTGCTTGCGTTAGTCAGTCATATCGCGGTCCAACAGCATCTAGAACTGGACTGTACCGACTCTCAAGGCGGTAGAAAGCGGGAGCGAGTCGTTCCAAGATCAGCTGGCAGCGGAAGTAGATGCAGCTTGCCTGTCGTGTATATAATGGCGTGCTCATTACGCAGTGAGAAAGCTGTTGTTATAGTCTGGTGGTGAGTTGATGGGCGATGTTTGTGTTCACTAACACCGTCTAGACAGGAACACACCTCACACAATACTCAAAACAGTGAAGCCTCTGCCAGTTCCAAGGAACTTCGTTTTGAAACAGATCACAATGAAGGCCTGATAGGTATACATAATTAAAGGAATGATCTGTGGTAGAATGTCGACACTCAGTCCGATTCTGTTTGACTTTAATCCCAATTAATGTCGGTCGGTCTCAAACAATACAGATTGATGTGACTTTTTGGCTCGATAATAATACACGTTTACAGATTTGAGGAGAACCACAATCAAACAGTCTCACTTCCAGGTATATATGTTCATGTCTTCGAATTTTTACCAACTTTAAATTAAAACACATATATAGCAAAAATGTCTAAGATATTTAGTATACTAACCTTTTAGGAAATCATCGTACTTTGTCAGAAGTATGTCAGGATTTTCTCGGACACGTGGTGCTTCCCATGTAAGGTAGGCCGTTTTTTGAAATCCTCCGCATGAATATTCGTAAAAGTCCTGAGAGAAAAGAAAGTGATATTATTATATATATATACATGGTCTTATTCTCCTTGTACTTTTAAGGAATCTCGTGTAATTTTTTTCTTTTGTTTATATTTTGCCCTAGTTTGATTGAATTTGGGTTTGGATTATAATTATGTTGACCTATTGGTATTATGCCCCCAGATCGAAAGATGTTTGTTTGTCTGTTGTCATCTTCAACATTGGCCATAACTATTGCACTGTAAGAGGTAGGGCTTTCATATTTAGCATATTATTCTTTGTGACAAGACCTTTCCGCTGGTACCATTTGTTTTTCACCTTAACAGTGACCTTTGTTGACAATGACCTTTGTGACAGTTGCCACCTGTACATTTCTTGTTTATTCCAATGACTTACGCTATTTTTGAAAGAACCGTTATAATTTTCCTTTTATTTTCTCTGATGTTTTGTTTTAATTACAAATACAATATATTTACATCCTAAATAGCTATTTTCAAAAAGGCCAGTATTGAAGTCACACAGATATGTGTGTGATATCTGTATTCATTTCTATATGTTGCCTTTGTTACTTGAAACAGGTTTTACAGGTAAGCTTCTTAAGAGACGCTGAGCTGTCCTTATCTTCAACACACAGCCAACATAACAGAAGTAAAGAATGTCTTTAAAATGGTATCTTTTCCGCTTTTTGCATCTTATTGATTAATAAAACGGAGAAAAATACATCTTCGCACAAAATGATGCGATACATTTGGGCCTAGGGTTATGATTGTTCAGTGTTAGTATTGATTTGATCAGATAAAAGTGACGACAGTCTTTTCACGAGCTGGGATTTCCTGTGTGTTTCTATCCAGTACTGTCACACCAATATTAACTTAAAAGAGAATGGAAGAAATCCCTTTCACAACAATCTTTGTATTAGTGCATAAGGCTGAAAATGAAAATGTGTATGGTCAACATAGAACAGTGCCATTTCTACCGAACATAGGATAACATATTTAGACGACAATGCTTGTAGCATCATTTGTTAATTGAAACGTCGGAATATTTTTGTGTTTAATCAATAATAAAACCCCGAATAAATAAATTAGAAGATTCCTTTGTATGCACGTGTGCATTTGCTATGGAATGGCGGCACTTCTTGTGAGAAAACCAATTTATTTGGAAGCCCCAAAATGACCAGAGTGTTGTATTGTCGAGGCATCGGTGTTAAGTCGACCGGTCATATCATTTACTTTGGAGGTTCTGACCGGATGAAGGGGCTAAAACTGTTACCTCGCACGGGTCTACGTCAGTGTCCATGTGGGAGAGAATAGATCCCGCCAAACGCACGCAGTCGTGACTGCTACAGATCTGAAAAGATAGAATTAGACACAGATCACAGACTATTAACCTTACTCTTAACCTGATCTAACCCCATCACAGTCTGCGGACGTTATCGCTTCCAACCCTGACACGTTGGGGCTGATCTTGTCAAAGACAACTTCATCGGTCAAGGGATGCCACATCTTAACTAGGTTGCTTTGGTAATGAATATTACAAGCTCATTAACTGGAAAATTAATCGAATAGAGTTTTTTTACCATTTTTATTATTCTTTTTTGTTTTATGTTTTTTGTTGTTTTTCTTTTTGTTTTTTGTTTTTTTGTTTTTGTTTTTTTTTTTTTTTTTTTTTTTTTATTTGTTGTTTTTTATTTTGTTTTTTCTCCGTTTTTTTGTTTGTATTTTTTTAATACCAGGCTCCTATAGTGATGAAATGAACAAGAATGAAGACACGTGATGATCCTACAAATATTTGTGACATATAGAAATCTTTACTTAAAGTAAGCTGGATATACAGGCGTTCCAAATTCGATAAGTATTTATTTTTTTTCCTTACAAATAATTCAAGTAAAATTAAATAACATGAGCCAATTTCTTGTCAAAGAAAAAAAACAGAAAAAAAATCTCAAGATCAAGATTTTTACACAACATCTGATTCTGAAATTAACAACAGTTTTGTATATTATTAACAACATATTTGCGGAAATACAACTGAGAGTAAAAATAATGATTAAATTAAATAAATTCTTGCGGATAGGAAACATCATATCTTAATTATTACACTATCAACATGGCTGCCAGATGGCCTTGTAAAATAATAACACAGATTTGTATAGTATAAATAAACAACACCATGTTCTGTGGTGCTAAACATGTGTTACATAAATATTTGCGTGTTAGGATAATAAATAATTTAGAAGACAACCCTCATCTGATGAGAATAAGATCGTGGTATTCCCAGCGTGTCTTCTTCTTAAACGTATATTGGATGATATCGATTTCATCTAATAAGTATGCCTGCGTCTTGAATAAGTCAAAGGTCACATGTACTTCTTGGATGGCGACATTCGCTAAACATTCTAAGATTAAGTCCAATTGCTGTTTATGAGTTTGAATATTATAAATCGTTGCCTGTTTGAAATAACGGATTGTAAAGCAGATCAATAGTAGTTTAGTTTAACACTCTGCCTTTCAAGATACCAGGGAGTTGTAAACTAAGTTACGATGGCACATAGCGGCCGTTCACTGCTGATCAGGTACCAATCAACTGCAGTGTTTATCTTACGACGCAACCTTTGTGTTCTCTTCATAAAACATGGATGCTTCCTTATCCCCCCGCGATTCGACTTCAATAACGTGAATTCTGTGTCGTATCTCCTGGTGATTTTCTTTCTATTGATTATTTGGAACATAAACAATGGTATCGGCACCTTTAGCTTCTTCACGAATCAACAACACATTCTTTTAGCGCGGGCATGCTACAGATAAACGGACGACCTAAATGTCAAAACTACTGTATTTCAAGACTTGGTAATGATTCATTTCGAGAATAAAACTTGTTTTGGTTTCCAATTACATGTTGCTTTAGGATTTAGCATACGAATTATGAGGCATGGTTTGACGGGTATTAATATTTTAATTTCACAATACATCTTCAATTCTCTTTCATTTTAGCCCCTCTGCAAAACAACGTATACCGTGCGGTACTCAAGCTATCTTATAGACAGGGTTAATCCTCGTGGTCATTTTAGTCTCTTGTCAAATAAGTGTCATACACCTGGTAGGATGACAAGTGCACATGTATACGTCCAGCCATCTGGCTTAATTCCCTTGTGTGTTGACCGTGAAGCATGTCATACTTGTGAGGAAATATTTCTACTAAGAAGAATCACCCATCATCCATGCATCTCTGATGTAAAGGATAAGAGGGATTCTTGTTAATGAAGCTACATGATGATGATGATGCTGATGATGATGGTTTATCGTCTCCATGACTCTTCCCAACGCCCGGCCATGGGAAGAGTCATGAAGATGATTTTTAAGTGTCTATCTTTTTTTTTTTTAACTTTTAATGTCACTAGGAGTTTCTATTTATCACGTAATGTCACTAGGAGTTTCTATTTGTCATTTAATGTCACAATAAGTTTCTATTTATCACTTAATGTAACTTGGAGTTTCTATTTATCACTTAATGTCACTAGGGTTTCTATTTATCACTTAATGTCACTAGGAGTTTCTATTTATCACTTAATGTCACTAGGGTTTCTATTTATCACTTAATGCCACTTAGAGTTTCTATTTATCACGTAATGTCACTAGAAGTTTCTATTTATCACTTAATGTCACTAGGGTTTCTATTTATCACTCAATGTCACTTAGAGTTTCTATTTATCAGTAATGTCACTAGGGTTTCTATTTATCACTCAATGTCACTTAGAGTTTCTATTTATCACTTAATGTCACTAGAAGTTTCTATTTATCACTTAATGTCACTAGAAGTTTCTATTTATCACTTGATGTCACTAGGAGTTTCTATTTGTCACTTTAGTTACTGTATACTCATAATTCTGTCAAAAACATACATGTGTATGAAGTCTAGTGTTTTAAATTCCTACGACTACAAGTGTCTTGTTCTGATATGGCCCCTTGTGTTGCAAGAACGTTAAACCGCATACAAACAACACAAATTACCATTCTTTGCCAGACTTACAGATTAATTTTATTATAGAAAGTAGTAACTTATGATATGATTCATACAAATGTTTTATAAAATTTGACTCAGAAGGTCTGGAAATGTTTTTACATTTATAAGCATCATCAAAGCCTTGTTAGTCGGCGGGATACAGAGAATCGCCTTGAATGGTTGTTCATACAGTAAGGATGTATCAAGCAATGCGGCGCCAACTGCTACCATAGATAAAGGAATAACGAGGCCAAACGCGCGTGTATCATACACCGACATGTGACTGCTAAACTTAAGCCATCATCCATATTTAATTCTTCAAAATGCGACAAAATGTTTTGGGATATACCGATATAAGAGAAAAAAAAATTGGCTTGTCCGATTATTGTTGATTCGTATGTATGTTGATATAATACTCGACAATAAATGCGTCACCCCGTGACAACTACTGGTAAAAACGCACAAAATTCTGTGATTCTAATGGGACTAAAACGTCCCAGACCGGTGAATCAATCGTTTTGACGCCATGAATAATGCGACGTTTGTTTCGTCTTATGATTTCAAACATCTTGAACCTTTCTGTATTTTCAGGGTCGATTGTCAGTCGTTTTCCCCAAACGTAGAGAGGTGTACGTTTATACGTACACTGTGTATAACAAGCAAGGTCTTTTGTGTTGGTCGGGCTTTTAAAAGCAGTATGTATGCTTTTTATACGTGAAATAAAAAATGTCGTGACGGACATTAATCTTTTTAAAAACTTCATAAAAAGCCAACAAAACATTACGGTTTCTTAATGCTGATAACGATATTTTTTATGTGAAAAAATGTTTCGAAAAGAGTGTAGACAGTAACGTGATAATATGGGAACACATTCGGTAATGTGAAAACATGTGAATTCACAAATATACATCAGATGGAAGGGTCACAGTAAGTAACTCAATGCTTTTACATTTGATACACTGATAACATTTTGTCTTGGCTCAAAATAAATGAAAAAAAATCTGTACTTTGTCATACTTGCGAAACTATTTTAATATTCAATAAAAAAAATTATCAAAATACCATCAAGGCATCAAATAATTTCCATAATGTGTGAAAGAATGACATATAAAACAGTAAAATTATATTTAATTAACTATGATGTTAAAATTGTAAAGGAAACACACCACATGTCTATAATTAAATTCCAAATGTATCAGATCGGAATTTGATAGTTACATCGTCCAATAACACTCGAGTTTACTGGAATTCATTTTCCTCTATCGTTCATTTTTCTAAAATGATTAAGATGTATCATTCGGGTTTCCGAATGGCACCAGGAGGTGTTTTCCGAACAGCAATAGGAGTAACACTCGCATTTTATTACTTCACTGTCTCCGGTGAGTGTTTTTTGTCATCTTGTGGTAAAAAGACAAAGCAGAATAATTTATTATCGAAAATTCATTGTTTCAATTCCATAGGATCCGATGTCATCAAACATGATCAATCTAGAAGAAACAAAGAACTCTTAACAAATCTATGTATTTATTGAACATTATACAAGTTAAACAAACATTACTATGCCATATATGTATCATTCGTCTGACCTCCGGCCCCGATCAATTACGCGTCCGCCCGCGGAGTGCGTGTTTGTCTGTCCGAGCACGAACCTCTAGTCCCCTGGGGCCACCATTTCTTATATACTCCACTTCTACCCGTAATATCGGCGCAACAGGCAACGCCAAGCCAGATATACACAGCTTTTCATGTTCGACCATAATATCCGAAAACTTTACGTATGAAAGAAAATGAAAAGCAATTCACAAATACTTAATTATTGTCTCGGAGAAAACACGGATACAATATACCTAAATTTGCAATGGCCAACTTAAAATGTTTTTATGGTCTACACTAGAAACAGAGTTACATAAAATCGAGCCAGCGTTTGTGTACTTCTCTTTTGCCATGTTAATGTACTTGTATGAAGCGCTAGGCCGTTTCCATCCATTTCTTATGGGAGTCGTTTCTTAGCGAGCGTCATCAGGTACTTGGCCATATATCGCGGCCAGCGGTTCACAGAGAGTCCAAGTACAAGGCGTCTCGACAGTGCGAAAGTGTTTATCTTGTGAGGACAGCAGCAGGACATTTCGAGAAATCTCGTCTCTCCCATCAATGTTAACTAATCTGATTCAAGGACAATCCCCCTTGTATAGAAATTAAACGATTAAATCACGCATGTGGGTGTAGTTCCAGCGAATACATTTGATCTTTATGCATCACTGTTGCGTTTGAATCCCTCGCTTAATCTCATACATCAGCAACGAGATTGTTTGTCTCTTTCCCTTCAAGTCACATTATGTAACATCGTG